GCATAAGTTCAGCATAGTATGCTTCGAAACACATCATTCTCATGGCAGGTGGAAAATTTTATATTATGTTATACTATATTATAAAAAAAGCTGTTCATAGGTTATTGAACTTCAAGAGTGAATTCTTAAGGTTGTGGATGTCGTAGCACTTACTTTGGTAAGACAGTGTTCGTAATTTAAACGGAATAAGAATGCTAGGAGAGTGTAGATTTGAGATAGTTGATTTGTGATTTATTACTGTTTAAGATCAACTGCCACCAAATCCTAGTTGTACAAAATATTCAAATCAAATCAATCTTTATTTTTAATAAATAATAGTGCAGCATTACATATATAATATATACAAATTATCACATGGGCTTCTGCCTGTGCGTGATAAGAGTTCATCAGTGGCTGCTTAATGGTTATCTTAAAACAATTTCACTTCTTAGTCTAATATAATTTAAATAAATATTTTAGGCGGGGCGAGAGTAGGAAATGGATTGGGGGCTGCGGGTTTGGGCAGTTATCAACTAGACTCAGTTCCTTTCGACAGTAAATGTTCAATATTAAATATTAAGAGCTTTACACAATTTGTGATGAAAGAATATTAACGTTATTTGGTAAAGGAAAATTTATTAAGGTATATAATATTCTATGTACCTAATTTCTATCAGTAACATAAAAAAACTGTGTTGTGTAACATTATTACGTAAAAGATGTAAAATTAAAGAACAAATATACTCACCAGTTTAAATCAAATTGGGAAATGATAACTTGACATTATCAGTACCGTACCGAAATAAAAATAATAAAATACACATTGCAAGAAAATACATGTAACTAATGAATGCAGGTTTGTCAAACAGTTACAAATGTACTTGTCAAACATAATATCGCATTTTAACACTCGTGTGAAATAACACATTCTCTGTCGGATTTAATTACTTTGATTAACTCGTCCGTTGTGTTTATTTTGTCTCGACGTTTTTACAAAAGTATTATAATTACACGTGTTAGTTTCCGAATGATTTATCTTCTGCTAATTCCACGTATTTGTTGCTTTCACTAACAATACTTTGTATTTTTTTTTCATTTAGTAAAGCTGGAATATTTAGCAATCATATTTAAGATATACACTTGTTTAAATAGAAAATATAAATTGTGTATTTCAAACAGCTTATGATGGAATTTTTAGGGTAACTATATGGTGAGTAGTAAAGCAATGAGCTATAGCCCCCAGGTCCCCGGGTTCAAATCCTTCCAATCACAAAGAACTTTTGGTTTTGTGGTAATGCCTCCAGGTATATCCTGAAGTAATTGTGTAATAAGGCTCCATAGGCACAAGTTAGCTAAATAACTTCTACCTTATATGTGAAATTTGTGTTGTGTTTTTTACATTGACTTTTCCTCACACATTCTCCTTTGATCACCCCCATAATGTTAAATGTTGATCATGTAGGTCATGCTGGGTGTGGAAGAATCGCTTTTGCTATTGGTTAAGACTTTCAGTTTCACGAGCTATCATTAAAGCAATTCCCATTCTTCCTGAGCTGTTAGCTGGGTGGATTAATAGCTAATTACAGCTTTGCATATCCAAACTCTGTTTACTGTCACGCACATAGTTCTTTGCCAGGCTTATACTTATATCACACATAAAGCAGCGTTTATTCTTAAACTATCAGTTTTGGAGAGTTTCCCATATGGGGGGAGCTTAGGTCTCATGGTAGGACCCGGGATCGTTTTACTTTTTCGTTAAACAGATGAGGCCAAAATACCATTTAATTTCATGTACCGTAGATGTTTTGTGTTTTTTAACTTGTTGATGCTTATTGGGTGAACATGCTAACAGAATATGTTGTCATTGTGGCAAATAAGAACTGTGGAAAAATCCTACAAGTAGTTTTTCTTACTGTATTACTTTACAATCTAACATTCAGGTTAAGATCAGGTTCAGGCACAAATAAAATTGAATTAATACATCTTTCATGGGTCTGCCTGTATTTAGAGCTGTTAATTTTGCATGTAATCGACATGGGCCCTAACCCAAAATATCAATTATAACTCTAAATTATAACTGAACAAATCATTCTTACGAATAATGATCATAATTATTTTACATTCTTAACACAGTTTGTGGATAGTTAACTATAAGCTTTACTTATGACATGTAAGATTTAATTGAATACATGTAGTAGTTTGTATATAACCAAATTGGCTCTCAAGCTTACAATATTTGTTATTACTTATTTTCTGACGAAGGTTATAGAATATTACTAATCATTATAAACCGCCAACAGACTAATTCATTCAAAATAAGTATTCATTTAAGCTTATTTAAATCAGGTGCGTGTGAAGTTTAGTAGACAATGTTGTATAATATTGATAATTCACACCCACTTCTCTGTTGAGTTTTGTGTAATTAAAACTAATCAGCTAAACTTACATTAAATGTAATGCGGTTATCTAGTAAAAGGCTAATTAGTTTGATTTAATCACTTTGTGTCAATACTTGTCATATAGTTGCATCTGCTTCAGTGTCATCAATAATTGGAAATGTTTGATTTGAATATTTACCTACGAATTTAATTATTTTCCTTTAATGTGTTAGCTGTTTGTACAAGCGTATGTTCTCAAATTAGTTTAAGAGTAAAAAAAATGCAGTTTGTGTACAAAAATCATTTAAAGTGGCATTTTCACTTTAAATAGTTTTCAAATCAGCTGATTTTCAATAGTTTACAAAACACCTGAATTTTAATAGTATTCTAATCAGCTGATTTTCAATAGTTTTCAAATCAGCTGGTTTCCAATAATTTTCAAAACAGCTCATTTCCAATAGTTTTCAAGACAGTTTCTCGACATTTTAGTTTGCTCACGACAAACAACCCAAAATTTAGGTTTACTAAAATGAAGGAACGACTACAGACATGCTACTCTTACCAATTCTTCTCTTGTGAGCCAGCACACCCAATACCTATTTAAAAAAGTTGTATCAAAATCAAACTGTTTTCACGTTTGTCTGAACAAGCCTCTATTGTGTTATTACCTATTTAATTGGACTTTTCCAACATGTCTTGTGTTTTAAACTACACAACATTTCTAGAGGTTGATAAACTCCCCCCATTATCAAGTTAAAATATACTCTCAAGTGAAAAACTCCAAAGTCTGTATTAAACTCTTGTTTCATAAACGTTGGCATCCTAAAGTGGGATTTTTTAGTTTTAACGTGATAAAAACTGTAGACAGAATATAATGTGTGATTATTGTGTAAAGTGTTTTTAAACTTTATTTTGGGTTCATTTTTGGTGATTTCTAGTTTATAATAGATATCAAAGAAATTATTGTGGACAAAATTCAACTCAATTAGTTTAAATATAAAAAAAAACAAAGTCAAAACTTCTTTACTACTAACTAATTATAACTAAAAACTAATAATTATTCTTATGGTCGTATTCTTCAATAACGCCATGCAGTGTAATTTGTGGAATATTACTAAATACCACATTAAAATGTGTCTTGACCCTGGAGGTATTAATTTGATTGTTTGCTCAGGACAGAAAGCATTCACTTAGCCCGAGGGAAGTCAATTACCACATGTTTGAACAGTGGGTGTGGTGGACTTTATTTTGCTGTCAAAATATTTGCTTAGTTTGGGGAAACTGATTCATTGCCGTGGCTTGCCCCCCCCCTCCCCCCCCTTAATCAGTTGAAAGGATTCAGGATGGTTCAATGTACTTGATATGTCCAGTGAGATCGATAGTAAAATTATATTAATTTGAATGGCTTGTTAAACGTCATGTTTCAAATTCACAGTATTTTGCTTTTCTTTAAATTAAGGCTTTTTATTAAACGTTAGATTTTTGTGGATTGTTTCATGTTTTAACCACAGAGAAGTAATATGAATATATTTACTTATTTATATCTACTTTATATTTACTTCTCTGTGTTTTAACTATATGATTTTATGTGTCGTCCTTAAGAATATTATAAGGACTAACAGTTTTTGTATTGAACTATGATATGGTGTTTGTGTATTAAATATATATATTCTTAAATAAACTTTATTAAGAAAAACTATTACCGTTTATTAAATTGAGTACCATACCTAGTTCTTTTTTCGCTCGTTAGTGCGGTCGACATTTTAACATGAAAGTTGCATTTATTTTTTAATCAATGCCGTGAATTCCAGTCATCGGCACTAAACATGTTAAGCTGATATTTTCCTTGAGGCTTTTAAAATGGTGAAGAACGGGATAAAGAACCATTTTACACTTTGTCCTTCAGTCATCTTTGCTCTAAAATTCGAGCCCTAGTAAGTCAAATAATTTAATCGACGGTAAAATGATGTAAAAATGGGTAATTCTCTACAAATATTCTTTCGTCATACTGCAGCAAAAACAGCCATTAAAAAAAAAACAGGTCGGATCGATCGAAATTGTTTATCTATTGATTTATTAGGTAAGGTTTTAACCTATTGTTGTTGATCGCTCGACATATCGATGGTATAATGTAATGTAACACAATCGTAACGGACGAAATTATTGAATCACTTACTAAACAGTTGCTTAGTTGCATTATTAGAATTCAAAAGAAGCTGGAAGTAGTTTGAAAGGTTATCTTTACATGAAATTATTTAGTTTTCTAGTTTTGTTTGCTAATTAATGATGCAATATGACGAAAAGTATAGTTCACCACACGGGCAAAAAGAGTCACTTTAGGCCCTAGTGATGAAATATACTATTTTATATTTACTCATGTCATGCAGTAAGTTATTAGAAGTACTTATGCCGTGTTGGCTAGAGTATCTAACAAATAAAGAGAAATTACAAATTTGCCAGTTTAGGTTTGTTTGTGTCATTAAGGGCGTTTAGATTATCATAAACTAAAAAATACGTATCAAAGTAATGTTGTGCTTCTAAAACATTCCTACTGCATCCAATATTCAAAAACTGTCCATCATAATAACTTTATCCAAGATAGTGTATATATTTGCATAGTTAAAGACAGTTTTTATTTTTCAGATTGCGTTCACCTGCAGCTCTACAGGGATTGCAAGGAAAGATACAAGCAAGGGCAGACCAAAGCTTCCCTATCCCTGGAGAACTTCCTAGGAGTACAGTCAGGTACATTAGAACTTCCTATGAGTACAGTCAGGTACATTACTAATCACTCAGTTGGTTCTCATCCATGGATTTAATCACTTCAATGTTAAATTTTCAATTTTGAACTCTAAGTCCGTTAATGTACAAAACCACTTTTAGCGCAATACTCTGCTGTTTTTAGCAAGATTTTTGTCACTTTAAATATTGAGTAATTTGTTTGACACAAGTTCTATGCTTAGTAACTGTTCTAATTTAGTTATTTTTATGCAATATTGATTGGAAACTTGTTTGAATGAAACTACGTTTATGTTAATTAAAAGATTATTGTGGGAAAGTTCCATTGTAATTTTCATAATACAAGTTTTCATGAAGTTATGGAAATTTAGACTTGCTCATGTGAGAAAGTACCTAAAACATAACAAGTAAATAATACACAAACTCAGCCATAACTGGAAAATCGCAAAATAAAAATCACACAGAGATCTATATGCCTTGTGTTGCTTAACACACTCACTCCCACGTGATGAGAGACGTTAGATACAGAGGAGTGTGCCGGCTGGGACTGAACCTGTTAATCTATGACTATGCTTAGTAGATTTGTACACAAGACTAGTTAGTAAAACTACAATAAGAGTTAGTGTAAAAAAAAATTGTAAAAATAGAGAAAATGCAAGCACAGTGGACTTTTCTGCATAATATAGTGGCTCAACCAATGGTGGCTTTGAAAATTTTCTCACCTCAGGATGAGATCAGATTCTCAAAACCTTGTGAAAACCTTTTCATTAATTGTGATTAAAATGTTTGAAATGCTAACATAAATTTTACATGTTCTACTTCTAATCTATATAAGTTTGAAGAATACTCATTTAAAAAATGTGTAGTCAATCACATGAAATCAAAGCCTACAGAGTAAAGTTAGTTTACTTTGAAGCGAGTTTGATTTGCAGGTTTCACACTGGACAAGGAGTCTAACACACTGGCTATCATCTGTCAGGAGCTGACTGTAGTTCTGGCGTTTGACACCAGGGAACATCTGATGCAGTGGCAGGTCAAGATCACATCAAACCTTGGGGAAGGTGAGGAAAAAATTATTATAAAAACTAGTGTGTCTACCACTGTATTTTGTATGTCATCTCCGCATGTATCAGTCCAACCACAAGGATAACACAGCACAATTAAAATAAAATATTTTACACCCAAAAGCGATACTTGTACTTTCTGCCAGAGGAACACATCTACATTTACACAGTTAGACTTGAGGAGTAGATGAGAGGTAGAAGGTATGAGGAGTTGAAATACTGTGATATGGATAAACGCTGTGGGGAAACAATCAGAAGGGACAGTAAAGAAAATGCAGTCTTAAATACGCTTGGCACTAAAGATCTTTCATGTGAAGAGAGGGGTGGCAAAAAAGGAAAGGTGTTGATGTAATAATTACAGTATAATTTCCTCACGGAAATAGCTGCAATACCTTGGCACTTGACTGTCAGCGGTAAGGGTTGGATAACCAAAGATTGCAGACTCGAGACTCTACTGTATCCCGTGTATTAATTTTTATTTCAACATTTATTTAAAGCAGTGTTTTTACTTTGCTCAAGAGTTGTTTTCCATCATTCAATAACTCTCCAAGATACAACCATAGATAAAACATACACAACTCAAGTTGTTTTGTTGTTCAATCTGTAATAATATCATTGAAGTTTTTTTATTAAGCCTGTGACAGTGTGTGTTGATAGAAAATATATGGTAAACGTTGTTAATGACATTTATTCAATATACTAACTTTTTCACTCTTTTAAAAATCCCATAGCAGTGAAAACCAAGGAGAAAAGTAGTATTATACTGTAAAGCAATGGAATGAGTGTGGAATGACTGAAATGGTGACATCTTCCTGTAATCTAACTACTTGGAGGTCACGAATTGTGGATATTTATAGGCACGCTCTGTGGATGTGATGCTCCCTGGTTTGGATTAACGTCCGCACTAGTGAGTACTACGGCTATCTGCAGTACTATCCTCATAATTAGACAAATTTGTTAACTAAAAGGCAAAAATGTGGTTCCTGTTCCATTTTAAACTGTAGGTCCTTTGGGAACATGTTGGCCTTAGTCACTAACAAAGACTACAGGATCGTGCCACTCATCCTACACTCATCACCATTCATACTTGGCTTAAAATACCTGCTTTCGTATGGTCACCATTTCATTGAAAAGTATTAAAGCATAAAGTATTAAGTATTAAAATACCTACATTCGTGGGGTCACCATTTCTGAATAATGTATTAAAGTAAAGTATTAAACTAAGTTCTAATTCAATACAACATTTGCTACACATGATCTGTAAATGAAATGTCAACTGCAGTATGCAAAAGTCAATGGTATATAGCTCAGGGTTGTTCCGCAGGTGACCAATGGCTGGTGCAGATATGTTCAGCCCCAGCCAAGGCCAAGCTACCCCCGGGCCCCGCCAGGCTACTTCTACAGGAGTACCAGTTCTGCCTCACTGTAGGGGTGCCTCCACGACTGATCAACTTCTGGCAGATCAGTCAACTCAGGTAAAAAACATTTAAGAGGTATTTATTTCATTGTCTGTGAGGATGTTGGCTTTTAAATGTTTTTTTTTTTTTTTTTTTATCAAACTGTGTAAATAGCCATGATCTTAGTAATTTGATCTTATAGCATCTCGTTTGTTAGCCAGAATAATGAATTGGTAGCATAATGATTAATTGCATCTGGGCCAAATCAATCTTCCTTGGAATCAAACCAGCTATAACATCAGATTTGATTGCACACTGAAACCATCTTATAGTTGCTAAACCACTCGACTAGACACAACAACTACTATTACAATCTAGACAAATGACTATGACAATGACTATGGTTTTGAATTTCTTAGATTAAATATAGGTAACTTAATTCTTGAAAGTCCTAGTGAAAATAAATGACTAATTTGACGTTACTTCAAACACCCAAGAGTGGCAAATGCCTCTGAGGGCATTTGTGAGCAGCATATTACTGGTGGTTACCGGTATGGGCTGATCTGTTCTGTTGTTTTTAATTTCAACCTTATTTTTGTTTTAACTTCTTACACACAGCGGTTATTCCAAGCTGTAATGGAACATAATAATACATAATTTTAATATTTTAACTTACCGTTTCTTACACAGGTTTGTTTGCCAATATGTTGTAAATCTTTGTCCACCAAACTTCATGTGTTGATTCTTGTAAGCAAATTGAAAAAGATGAAAATTTTGAATAGACCTTAGCGAGTTGCAATCTATTTTGTTCTCCTGGACAGCTAATTGCTAAGTTGTTTTGAACTTTACAGGAAGTTTGGAGTGATCGAAGGCAAGTTCTGTTTTGAAGGAGGTTCTCGCTGTGGCCGAGGTGAGGGTTTGTACATTCTTGTGTCTGAAAGACCCGAGGATCTAGCCCGAGCCTTTCACCTGGCAGCCGACGGCAAACTGTTCACCAACAAGAGATCTCTCTCTAGAAACTCATCAGGTAGTTTATTAATGGTGTTTGTTCAACTTGTTCTTGTTAATGTAAAAAAATGTTGGCAATTTTCCATTTTCTTAGTTTGGAATGGCTCAAAACAATTTTTAGTTTTAAATTATTTCCATAATATATCTAGACACATTAGAGCATTAACTAGTGGATTAATAGTTAAATCATTAAACTATCATTAAAAAGGTTTAAATACCTGCTACCAAGCAATCCATTTAATTGCAGTCCCAACTAGTTTCAGCTTCTATGTGGGTGGTCATCAGGCGGGTACCAGGACTTTTTTCTTTCTTCATATGAAGAGCGTCGTTTAAGCACATAAAAATAAATAACAATTTAAATTCAATAGAAACACAGACACAAATCAATTACAGTAACTGTTTAGTTATGACAATAGACAATGCTAACCCAGCGGAGTTAGTCTGGATTCAAACTCTGCCAGGTTGGCTTCTATCACTGAATAGTTTAGGTACTACATTCACAACTAATCATAAAACAAGGGCCATCTCTTATATAAACTTTGTAAGCCAATTGTATCACCACTCTTAAGAACCTGCATGATTTCTCCTATTTATTTGATCTTACTCTTCAAGATAAGGGAGATGGGCTCTGTTAGTCTTGTCTCCAAAGTATTGGCTGTTAGAGCTCAAAGTGTTAAAGCAAAAGCATAATATTGTATGATTTTCCAGTGATGGACAAGTCTCGGAAGCACCACACCCTGAGACCGGACTCCAGAATGTCCGATGGCAGCAGTCTGGAGTCTACCCTGGAGTCTCCAGCAGGATGTAATGGTTCTCACAGCAGAGAGGACCTGCTGTCCTGGAGTCAACATCCCATGTGTGACCTAGGAGACACTGTGTCTAACAGTGACAGCGCTCATAGGTTTGATCTGGTAAGTAGCCTCAACAGCTGGAGAACCACAATGATCCAATACAACAAACAGCCCTACCATAAGGTTATACACATTTACAGGAGTTAAACGAAGGATTGATGTGAGGATGACAGCTTTATCTGAATGGGGAACTCTTGCAAAAGAAATACAACACTTTACACAACATATATTAAAAATCTGGAAAGTTTCGCAGCATTTTTAACTAAGAAAGGTATGAGCTGGAGATAATCTTCAGGATCAATGATGGCCAGGAAGTTGACTACCGTAACACTTTGTAGTGTTAAGTTTTGTGTTTCTATTAGCCATAGAGGACTCATCCCCAATTAGGTATGCATGCTATCTTCATACAACTCCTTAAACTCCAGGTCCTTTTGCTTTATGTTACATCCCTTATCCCTCTAACCATAATAAGTTATGGAATCAGTTTCATTACTAAAAGCTTAAAACTTTTTGGGATGTTGGCAGTGGCGGATTTACCATAAGGCACACTAGGCACGTGCCTCGGGGCGCCAGCCGTTGAGGGGCGCCCGCCGTTGAAGGGCGCCTGGCCGCGGCAGGCAGCAGGTAACGTGACGGGCGGCGCGACCACGGGGGCGGCGTGCGTGGCAGTGGGCGCCAGGTGATTATCGATCGGTGAAGATGACTCACGTTCATGTCCCGACATAATATAGACTGTGAGTAGCAGTAGCGAGCACAATACAAGTCAAGCGGGTGAAGCCCATGGGTAACTGCTATTTATTTTAACCTTGCGGAGCAGAGGGGTCCTCTAGTTAATGCATAAAGTATAATAGTAGGCCCATAACAAATAACTGAATGGATTCGTGGAATCTAATCAGTTAAAATCATGAAAAGGTCAGTTAAAATTATTTTTGTTTTGGCAGAACAATATTTAATCTAAATAATTTAATCAAATTAATGTAATATAGTTTAATCTAAAATGTAAAATTTATTAATAAAAGGCCCTACCGGTATTTATTTAATTTAAAAGAAAAAACTAATTTTGTGTGTAACCGCTTTGGATTTTTTTTAAATTTTTAGTAATTTTAATTTCGTAAATATGCATGAAGAAAATAACAATAATGAGTGAAAAACAAAAAAAGTTAAGTGGAGCAGCATTCCACAAACAGTCAAAGGAAAAGCGTGAGAGAGAGACTTCCCTTTTAAAATCTGTGAAAAAGTGGACAGTTATTGTTGTAAAAAAGAACAAGGAAATGAAAATATTCAACAAGGAAATGAAAGCAAACACGACGAGTTCTCTGTTAACCCAAGTACAAGTGCGATAACTAATACGGCAGACAATGATAGTGTTAAAGTTCAAACTGTCAATACAGTTGAAATCTCTGATACCGACAAATACAAAGATAATGGTTGAATGGTTCGAACGTTGCTATTGAAATAATGATAGTTAATAATGATACTATTGAAGTAATGATAATTGTGAAACAGGCGTGCAAGTGGTAGATTTTAAAGCCTCAGATTACAATTTGTGTCCTCCTTCTGTTGTGCTGTTAACGTCATACTAGCGACTGGTGTATGGGTCACAATATTGGCCTACCACCGCGCACCTGTTTTGCGCATATCAAGGTCAAAATTTCCTCCCTTGCTACAGGAGAAACAAAACTTAGTTATTTTAGTTTCAATATTACGTATAAAACGTTTAGTTGCCTTGAATATTACCCAGGCAATTATCATTTAAAATCCCGGCATTCTTTTAAAAAGACCCTGTATATAATCTATATAAAAGGCAAAGCCCTCACTGACTGACTGACTGACTGACTGACTCACTCACTCACTCATCACTAATTCTCCCTCTTCCCACTTACCTAGGAGGCTGAAATTTGGTACACTGATTCTTTAGGCATTAAATAGGAAAACTAAGTGGTTTTTATTCTGATCGGACTCTCGGGCTCCGCCCCAGTGGCTCTGGAGTTTCCCATGTTAACCTAATGAGTACTCATATTTAAATGGAATTAATGAATCATAACAGCTGTTTCAATTAAACAAGTTGGTTCTGTTCTGTGATGTTCAATAGCATTAAAGTTACAAGGATTACCAACAGAGTGCAGCACTATTATTTTTTTTAATTTATGACAACAGCTAATTTGCAACCAAAAGGTGAGTGAGCGTAGCGAACGAACTTCAACCCGGAGGCGAGTTAGCGTAGCGAACGAGCTAACCTGAAGGCAAGTGAGCGCAGCGAACGAGCTCCAACCTAAAGGTGAGTGAGCGTAGCGAACGAACTTCAACCAGGACGTGATTGAGCCATGCGAACGAGCTCACATATGAAGCTAAACGGGGCAAAGCCCGCGGGTACAGCTAGTATGTATATATAACTAACTAGAATATACATATCTACTAGAAATATAATTTTTACGGTTCTCTGTTGTACTTTTACTACTGTAATTTAATATAATCAGCAGCCCTATTACGTGAACACCTAAATTCAAATATATATATGTATTAATAATTTCATAGAAATTATAAGAAAAACCAAAACAAAACCAATTTAAGCTGGATACATTTTAATTGAATTTAGTCAAGAACGGCAATCTGTTCGGCGATTAATTTAGGCTATTCATATTCATATTTATTCTTGTCTCAACAACAAAATATATGTTTTTCTTCAAACCTATTAATACAACTTTAAAATAAAGTAGGCCCTACTCATATGGTGACTATGTTTTTCCTGGAAAATGCATTAATAAGCATGCCAACAACGGGAAGTTTAATATTGCTTTTACGCTGAAACCTTTCCTCAATCGTGGAACACAAAGGGGCGGCCGGCTGAACGGGCCTAGGGGCGGCGCCGTAGGTAAATCCGCCACTGGATGTTGGTATATTTTCAGAGTGTAAGTAATTTTTATACTTTAACCAACAGAACTATAGACCGGTGTACAGTATTGTGTATTTATCACAGTTAAAAATTTGTTAAACATTTATGTGATTGGAGCCTTTGTTGTATTGATAGTTTTGGTAAACTTCTCATTTACCGTAAAATGTAAAAGATCTTTTGTTCAAAAAGTTTTGTCTGTGGTTGATGTATATGTGAAACAAGATCGTTCAAATAAATCAAAGTGTCCAATAAAATCTAGAAAATTTAAAAAAAAAACTGTCATTTTAATTCAATTTGTTCATCACCGAGGCCCATATGATTGAGGTTCAGATATGAACTGTTTATTGAACAAAAGTTCTTTTACATTTTACCGTAAATGAGAAGTTTACCAAAACTATCCATACAACAGCAATACAAAAGCAATACAACATGCTGTACAGACAAAGTTATTTCTTATGTAAATAAATTTCCTCACAACAGTTATTTGCATACTTGCACTTTAGATTTAATCATGTATTTTGTAGAAGTCTCTGTGGACACCGGAAACGCCGATGGCGAGGTGTACAAGCTGCATGAGTAAGTTAGGCAGCATGTCAAGGTCCTCCACCCTCACACATACCCCAGCTGGCTTCCCTGCCTGGACAATGGACCGACCAAGTAAGGAGAACCTTAGACTTACATTTTGCTTTTGGTCTTTATTTTTTATTTCTACTATTTTTTATACAATTTTACAAAAGGAAAAAGGGAGCTAGTCAAGTGGTTAGAGCAATAAGCAATGGACAAGTAGAATTAAAAATAGACCGACAGTAGTGCTGCGGTCAGCATATGTTCTGGCATCCACAGCTAGGAGCGCCAAGTAGTTACATAGTGTGTGTGCTGTAACTAAGCAGCACGCCTAACATGTGCTAACCGCAGCACTGCTGTCGGTCTATATTTAGTTCTTTTTGTCTATGAATGAACTTATTTTCTGAAGGGTTCAAATCTCATCGATCAAAAATGGTTTCCCTCTCCAAAACAAATATTCTGTAGATACCCACATTTTGTGTTTATTTTACAGTCATGTTCCAAAAATATTTTGGGATCCTACCACTTGTGTAATATAATTTACCCAAAGGGGGTAGATGGCTGTTCTAGTAGTGGACAAACTTTCTGTTCTGAAAGCTTTGGTTCAAATCATACCAATCTCCAATGGCTTTTAGATAATGTTTATTCAATATCTCCCTCCACAAAAATCATGTTACAGTACTAGTCATTATCTTACCTTTTCTGTTATGAAAAAGTGCCACACTAGAAATGTTGGTTCTCAAATAGAGTTATCGTACCATGTCAAAATCTGACCATATTTCTTTTTATTAAACCATGTCCAAATGCTAGACATGGGGTATCAAGAGACTAAGCTGGATATCCACTGCTTTCATTGATGTTATTATAAATCAAATAGAAAAAAGGAGTAAAGCCAGTGGCGGATCCAGAGGGGCAAACGCCCACCCTCGAGCATACATATACATATATTTTTTACTGCATGTAATACAGTAGTGCATACACATTGCGTAAAATAATTTGTCACACTAATTTTGGACAAAGAAATGGTATAAAACTGCCATCTTGGAGACTTTGTTTACAAAAATATTTTGGGGGGTAGGCTACCCCAGAACCCCCCAGACCCCCTGGTTTGCCCCTCCCTTGTGACTGTTCTAGATCTGCCACTGGGTAAAGCTGGATTTTCCTAAATGCAGAAGATGAGCGCAGAGTGTGTAGAAGCAATTTTCCGCTCATCCAGTGGCAGTCCACTCCACAGCTAGAAAAACAGTACCATTAAAATACCGAAGACAAGAGGAGAGCAAAGTCCACGCTCAACGCTCTGCTCCTGCACCTAGGAAAAGAAAACCGAGCTTAACAAATATGATCTTAAAATGTTTCCAAACCTCAAATCCTCCAAATGTTTTATCTTAACATGATGCAACTTTTCAGAAAGTTACGGGTCGCAGAAGGTGAGCCCTAGTGTGACTTGTAGCTGCAGCAGTGTGTCCTTGTCATCTCACAGCTCCAGAGGCAGCAGACACTCGTCTTCAGCAACAGCTGATTGGTGAGTAGCATCTGGCGAATGAACCTCTTTTACCTGTATTAAGTGTCACTAGGCATAAAAATGGTTTACAATAAAATTCTTTGACGTTGAGTCAGAGTCTGTTATGTGTTATTATTTTATGCTAAGTGGAGTTTTAATGAGTTTAGTATGAATTTTACATGGTGAATTAAGATGCCATCTGATTCTTCTAAGAAAGCTTTCTTAGAAGAATGTCTAGCACTAATACTAGCACATTATTGCTACTGTGACCTTCAACTATTTTGTTAAGAACTGTACTTTACTAATTTTGCACACATTATGTCTACCCTTTAAACATATCTATTCATTTCATTCATTTGATGGTTTAGACATTTTCTAGATCAAACGAAAGTGGTAATTGAAAAAGGTTCACTTCACCAGTTTAATAATTATATGCCAAACATTTTACTAAATTTGGCAATTGTTTTACAGCCATCCCCTGTGTTCAGCCAATGGCAACATGTGTCCGTGTGCATCAAAGGATCACGCTCAGGCTCCCCCCCTCCGCCCTCCCAAACCTCCTCACCTCAGTTTCCTGCGGCTCCAGTCTACACCTTCCTCTACAACCTCTGACTGTCCCTCCCCCCTCTCTTCTCTTCGTCTGTCTCTCTCCCCTTCCCCCTCATGCTGCTGTGGTCACCAGGGAGGTGCTTTGAGTCCTTTTGGAAACTACGATGTTCCTAAGCCTTTAAATGTGCAACGAAGACTAAAGGTGAGGATAAAGTGAAAAAAGTGTTATCGGGTCAGTTATTTTTTATACGTATATTCCTAGACAATCTATAGTATAACTGTTTGCCATTCAAACTACAAATAGTAGATTCTTGCTTACGGTACCTGATATTCTTAAGTGTTAGCCTTAAGCACTCACCTTAAGAGTCTTAGGCAATCGTGGGAATATCCTGAATGTCACCCAGATTGTTCGGATATCATCGTCTCCCACAATCGCGGTAAAATGTTGAACACATCCCACGGTCATGAATTAATTATCATTGTCTTCTGTGATCGTGAAAAAATCCTGAACATCCACGGCGGTCGTGTAAACATCGTCATCATCTCCGGCGATGATGGAAACTTTACTGTCATCATTCACAAACACGACAAAAACATGACTTTTTTTATTGTTCGGTCTCTGCAGACACATCCTGAAATCATAATTACCTAACCAACAAAAAACCGGCTCGAGCTCAATTTTTTATTTGGAGATTGACGACTCAGCTTGAAAATCAAGCCTTTTGCTCACTCCTAGTTAACATTCTACGATGAAACAATGCTTTAGCAGTAATGAGTCAATAATCCCAATAATATGAATGTTTCCAATTTCTCAATGTTTTATCCTGAGAAAGGTTTGAAGCACTTTTTGATTAGTCCAGCTGATCTTGATCGCTGAACGCCTAATCGGCTGGGCTTATTTTATAAGAAAGTTATCACATAGCTTATCCCCTTTTATTGTATATCATAAGGTGTTCAGGGTCGTAGTACAATTTCCAAACTTTTTTTTTTTTTGTACACCTCTGAAAGTTCTGTAAGCTGCCATGAGATATGAAATTAAGATCTGATCGTGAATATAGAAGACTCTGGCAATTACAACAATTACCAAATATTTCTCACAAAACTGTGTAAATTGTTTTTCAAGTAAACTTTCTCATGATATCTTGTGCCACAAGTAGTCTTTTAAGAACAGCTAAGATATAAAAGTAATCAGAATTAGTTTAAAAAAAACAAAACTTGGGGGAATAGTTATTTGTGCAACTAGTGAGCAATTGCACTTTGCACTCGAGTTGCACATTATATTTTACCTACAGTTACCATAAAACAAATAAATTGGTAGAGAAACGTGACATATTTTTACACAGAAGTGAACTTTTAGTATTACATTTAATGATACAACAGTACAACAGCTGACCAGCTGATTTACAGCCAGTGCTGCCAACGTATTTCACGCGCATACGACCTTGTCTGCATGTTACGCGCTCACTATTTCGTGCCTTCACGTTGCAAATCTGGAGTGAGTGAGACAAAGTAATTAGAGTAAAACAATGTTAACATTGTCTCACTGATGAGCCAATTGGCCACTTTGCTTTCTCAAATCAGTGAGAGAACATGTACATTTGTTAGGTAACTGTAGGAAAAAGTTTATAGTCAAACATTTTTTCAAGTGTTTGATTTTCAAAACCAAAATATTTTGCCCTTTGTTTAATTTGCAATTTTTGACCCTTTTACCTTGGTAGTAATCAGATCAGGTCTGTCCAATAGGAACGATTTAAGGTAACAAATCTCATGCACATATCAATAATATTAGCGTAAAAATTAATATTTAACCCTTTCAGTGCTATGCAACCATATATCCTTGTGCTTTTTTTTCTCGAAAAGTGCTATGGAACGATATATCATTGTTCGCTTTTCATCCAAAAAGCGCTAAGCGACGATATATCATAGCGCCTTTCGATTGTGTGAGTTTAAATGGGCAACTCTGTTGTTGTTTCGAAACAGCGATGGTTTCTTTCTATTCCTCAAACAATCGACGCCCAATATATTGTTCCTTAGCACTTTTGAGATGAAAAATTTTATTTTCACCGATTTATTTTCTCGTACACTAGACTTTGCCCTTGTGGCAAGCCTAGCACTTTTCGGATGAAATAAGAAAATAACTCTAGCATTTTTTTGGAAAATTCAAAAAAAAAATTCTAGCATCAAAAGGGTTAAGAAGTATCATGTTATTGGTAACAAAACTTCCTCGTTTTACAGCTCAATTTTAACAACTCGCCTGTCAAAACTCTTTCCCAGTCAAGTGATGAGTTTTATGACACACCAAGGAAGCTAAAGGACAGTTTGATATGGGAATATGGAAACTACGATGTACCCCCACCAGCCCAGCCGCTTAGTCCAGAAAGTGTCAAAAGGTAACCAACTTGTTTAACGTAACCACACTGTAAAATTGCGCTCATGCAGCATCTGATGGTCCAGCTCTTTCAATAATCCTGCATTGGTCCAATGGTCTACTAAAACTTTTTTTTATGATTTTCTAAGCCATTTGAGCATGTTTGGTAGAGTCAGGAGGGAACAGCAGATGTCGGTTGTACACAGGGGACTTCAGGTGCTTTCTATTTTTATTTAATTTTTTTTTACTTTTTACAATTTTATATTACTATTAAAACAAGATAAAGTTCAATAAAAACACAGAAAAATTACCAAAAACCCAATAATTACCTTTTGATGCTCTTTATTTACCTGTATTCCTACTAGTTTTTCAATAACATAATTTTTTACAAGACCTTCAGTAATCGAGCATATTCAAATATCTGGTACTACTGAAACCCCACATATAGGATTTGCATTTAGTATATAGTAAGAGTACCCTTTATTACTAAACTTTTTTCAAAATGATTTGATAATGATGAAACTTTTTTGAAAAAATTTGATATTTTGTTGTGGGTACACACACATTGCGGTGTGTACTTACTTACACATTGATTCTAATCAGACAATGGTATCAGTCTTTATCTTTTATTAATTTTCATCGGTTGGTTCATACTACAAGTTAGCCTACTAGTATCAATTTTCTGTATTATAAATTATAATAAAATTCAAAATAAAATAAAATATTTCAAAACCTCTAAAAATTTGTAATGGAGTGAGTGCACGGATATTTGAAATAGTAAACGTAAGTATGCAATATGATTCATGCATGCATCGTACTTTCCTTTTCAGGTATTTTACTGATTTCTGTAACTTTCACTCCAATATGTTTGTAACATTCTCTTAATTTTTTTGTGCAGGGAAAGTTTGGATGAATCACAAATCAACAACGACAGTAGGGATCCGGACCAGTCAAATGAAGACACATTACCTTTCCATATAAATAAGGTATGTATGTGTAATACTATTTAAAATAATCAAGGACTGAATAAAACATCTTTGACTTACGTTTTGGTGTAAATTGGATGCAGTTAATTATTAGCTGCTAACAGAACAGTTTGGCTCAATGGAGTAGGTGCGCTAAAATAACCCAGTACAGTGAAGCAGGAACAAGGTATTCCATTTTAGAAATTTTTCAAATAGGTTTTTCTATATTAGTTCAAGTAATTTCAAAACTTATAAACCAAAATAAATGTTCCTATACACTAAAAATGTTACAACCTCTCCACTGGCACAGAAGTGAGTCTACAATGAATTTATCTGATCATACTTTTGCAGTTTAGTACCATTTGAAACAAAACTGATAAATTTAAAAAAGTAAATTCTATAGTGTAAACTCAGTCGAGCAGTGTATAGTATTAAATATCAATTATCGGCCCATGTATCGGTGAGTTATATCTGATTTATGACATGGACCCAACTCTTTGGTTCAGTAGGGACTATTGTTTCAAAAGTATGTATTTCAACTTAAAAAAGGCTCAAATCTAAAATCACTGCCATTTCTTCTGCTAACACAGCCAAAATTGGTAACTGCATTTTTGGGTGAATAAAGATAGAGTTTGAGAATTTATAATTATATCTTTGTCTTTATTTTTCAGGTGAAATTAACAGGTCAAGGAAGAATGCCAGTCATGAGTCCATGTGGAAAAATAATTGAAAAACCAGAACCAAGCTATGAAGAAAAATTAGATCAGCTATTAGAGAATGATCATCTTTCTTCAGACGTAACCATGTCCAGCAACAACTACATGAACGTTGACAGCAGCCAAAACAACAATCCTGAGAAACAAAACATACCCGAGGAAAATATGCCTAACAATAACGTTTATGATCCTGAACAAAACTACACCAACATAGCAGTTGTCCAGTCTCTACAAAATTATGAAAACATATTATGCTTCCTTCCAGAAGACACAAAAACCAATTCATTAGACCAATCCACAAATGGCCACTTGGAAAACAAGGTTGATAGTGAAGAAAAGAAAAACAACGACCCAAGTGAAACAAACCAGTTGTGCTGCTCAAACTGTGGACATGTTTGTTCAAAAACTATTAAAAATCAAAGTTTGAATGACAGGTTTGCATTTCAACCAGCAAACAGCAACACTCTAGGAAAATCTAAAAACGAGAACCACCTGGATTTTTTAAGCAATAAATACAACAGCACATCATGTTTACAAGAAGGAAATCTTGACTCACACTATTGTTGTGAGAAAAGCACTTCTGAAGACAAAGCTGCAAGATTAAAGTCTCTTTTGAAGTGTTCCGTGTCAGCATCAAACAGTCCTCAGCTGAAGAGGCCACCAGCAAATGTTAGTGAGGCAGATGTCTTGGATAAGTTTCACTTGCTGAGTCTCAGGAAGAGATCAAATTCAGCAGATTCTACAAGGTTCCACGTTGACGAAGAGTCAGTTAACGATACTGCTTCTACAGATGGTCCTGGTAAATCCTACTTCCTCAGTAACCCTTCGTCTTCAGACTCCCTGTGTGTTGCAGACAAGCTGGATTCCCCTTGTAAAAGAAAAGACATTATTGTTAACAAATGTGAATTAAAGCTAGCCCCTTTAGTGATAACAGAAAATACTGACATTCTAGAAACATCGAGTGAAAAATGTACCAAGAGATGCGCAAGAAGGTCTTCCAGTGTTCCTAACAAATTCTTTAGCAACAGAGATTCGTCCAGTTCAAATGATTCAGGCGTTTCAACAGGATCACTCTCCTTGAAACATTTTGGCGCAGAGTTTTTAGAATTTGAAATGCCACTTACTACAAGTATGTCTTCAAAAAGGCATCATATTGCCATGCTTAACCACAACGGTGATGTAACAAAACCCAAGATGTTACCAAAAAGATCAAAATCTGTTGACCCGATGAGAGAGCTCACTTTTACATTTGATGATAGAGAGCATCAGTCAGCGAAGTCTACGTCTGCAGAGGCTGAAGTGCCAGTCTTCTTGAATGAAAGTGGTGAAAAGGGTAAGTATTTTGTCCCTTCTAAAATTTTAGTCTGTATTAGATTACACCTTGTCTTATCAGTTAAGACAAGGTGACTGCTGCTTGTATTCAACCCTCTACCAGTATTGCCTCTGACCAGGCAAAATAGGTTGTTCAATCCACCCTAAGTTTTAAAAGTTATTGGTACATCACACTATTTTAGCTCAGCTTCTTAATAGCGAGATGGCTTTCAAATTTAAAAGTTTGATGGTTTGATCACGCAAAATCAAACTGAACTCGTATGCCATTGGTTGATGTAAGGTGATGTAATCTGTTCATTGGTTATTGTTTTATGTGATGCTGTTAATTGTTCCAGATTACCTGAGTCCACTAAGAGCTACAACATATCTGCATGACTCTAGGAGTACGAGCAGTGCAACTTCAGACATCTCAGATTATATCGAGACTTTGTCTTACTCCTCATACAGTTCCTTAGACCCTCCTGACAATCTACGGTAATAATATAGTTAACCTATTAAAAATTTTGTATTTCATTTAATAGTGACTTCTCTACCTTTTTGAGTATACTTATATTATTCATTTAATGCAAATGACTTTGAAAATTGCAAGCACTTCTTATCCTGAAAAATCTTATCCTTCTTAAAATCTGAAGTCAGCTCTTATATGTGTTTCCTACCCAGTCAGCACACGAGGTATTATATACATATATTTTAGGTCAATCTTGGTAAACTATGTAAAGTATATTGAAATATGTAAAATTCACATATAATTTACTCGCTGATATTTACATAGAAAATATCGTTACCTTTTGTTTTAGGTCAACATGAAATACTGTCTTAATTAATATGTGATTGATTTAAACCTATTTTCTGGCCTATTTCTCGATACATTTAATGTATTCTGAATGTAACTTATTCACATCCCATATACTTTAATATTGACGTAAAATATACATATATTTACGTCAAATGTACATTAACCATTTTCCTGGATTCATACCAGATAGATTTGTAAATTTTGCTCAAAGCCTTGAGAAAGAGATATTTTCACTCAGACCAAACAGTTGCTTTTAGAGAAAGTTTTTCTTAGAAGAAGGGACAGTAGGAATTTACAATACAGGCAGCTAGACAAAGAACTGTAATACAACGGGGTGGCAAGTGCGAAGGTCACTTGTAGAATTCCTTCACCAAGCCAAGAAGTGTAGTTAGACCGAACCGGTTTGGGATTGGGGTTGGGGTTGCAGCGTTGACTTATTGGATCCGAATAAAAATATCGAAGCCAGACTGATAGATACTAGAATTATATCGATAGTCAATATCAACATCGAACTTGATAGGCTCGATATTTCTATTCGATAGCTTACTGGGCAGTTATGATTAATTTAAATTTATGTAACTACTACAGTCTAAGTTAGAAAAACTAAATAAGTTAATAATAATAATTAATAACTAATATTATTATTACTAAGGTATAACTTAAATAAATCATAAATCCTTTCTACACGGAGCATTACTGGTCTTTCGATATGCATTGAAAATCGTTTTAGCACGATAGTATCGAATGGGTCGGACAGTACCGTAACGCCGACTAGGACTAGCCGTCATCCGAGGCCGCCATTGTTGTTTTGGTTTTAGTTGTTTAGTTCTGTGTTTCTGCTGCAGTTCGAGTTCTTTACTTTATCTCTTCTTCTTTTTATTCTGTGTAGTCTCTGCCCTCTTCGAGATCAATATTTCAATCGTTGTTTCCAAAACTTAGCTGTTAATTATTCAGTTTTTTAGTTAGTTTTAAAAGTTTATTTTACAGTTGTAACTTATTTAAGTTCAAGAATCAAGAAGTTTATTGGCCATCGGTGTTACCGTTGGTCCTAGGCCTACTTTTAAGATTTTCGCTAGATCAACCATTTATGTTTTCAATTCATCATCAATTTTCTACAACCCTCAAAGGTAAGTGTTCTGCTTTTATTTATGGTCTAAACTTACAAATACTGGATTTTAATTAGGCTAGGCTAAGTTAAGTTACATCACAGACAATTGGATAAAGAAGATTTAAGTTACATCTTCATTTTTACTGGTCTTGGATGATATTTTCGGTAGGTGTGTATTCTTTCAAGATTTCGGTTGCACTTTAGTTTCTGTCCTACATTTACTATTATAGGACTACTAACCACGAATACTAGAACAACATTTCTAGTACCTATTTAGGTACGGTACTACACAAATAGGTAGGCCTATTTGTGCTACCAGCTGATGAAACTGTTCTAAACTTAACTTAACCTTAACCAAACATGCAGTTAAGTACTAGGTAACTTGAGTTACCGTATGTGAGTAAATGTAGGACAGAAACTAAAGTGCAGCCAAGATTTTATCAAGTAGGCCTACGATATTAACTAACTTAGGTTAGGCCTATTAATTAGCACATTAGTAAGTTACAGGGTTTTTAAATTCGCAGAGGATACGCATCCGGTAACTGGACGTGGATTAGGCGTCCAGCAGTTACTGTCATAACCTAACCTAACCAACCAAACTTGCTGATAATGAAAAATGATAATGAATGAAGGTTAAATTATGTTCATAAAATAAAATTATAAATGCCAAAAATTCTAACAAAAGATGTACAGTTAATGGCATTCAAAGCAAAATCTTTGACAAAAAGTTAAAGTTACCGATGTGATTCGAACCAGGGACCTCTTGCGTTAATCAGCCTAGCACTCTATCCACTACACCACAAACACCGATGGTTGTACATCGTATCGTTGTGGTAATGGCGTTCCGGGCCCTCACAACCCTGTGACGTCAGTGCCGGACGCCTAAGTTAATCCACGTCCTGTTACTGGACGAGTATCCTCTGTGTTTTAAGTTACGCTTGATGTTGTTTAAATTTACAGTAGGTAATGGTAATTCCCAGGCCTACACTAAGATTTTAACGCAACTAATTAGGCCTATATGCTTCCTTATGTTAAATTATCAAGAGATAAGTTAGTTTTTTGGCTAAGGGTTTTTGAACTTGTCCAGTTTTTGTTAGACGGTTTGTTTATTTACAAATGACTAATAGGTAACTATACTATATGCTAATTAACTTAGGCCCATGTTATACGGACAGCAAGAACGCGACAGATAAAACGCCGACGCTGATTCACAAATTCAGTGCTGTTATACAATCAGCAATCACGCTGTGTCATCGACGCCAGGGAGCTGTTATACGAGCAGTAAACACGCCGCGACAGGCTCCGAGGGAGCCCGAAGGTCGCCGAACTGTGAATTTCCACTCCCGATAAGTCGCCTGGGAACTATCCTGTCGGAGAAGTATGGTGGGGTGAAGCACAGATCTGCTGTGTAAAAGCTGCCCGTATAACAGTAGGTACTCGCATAATTTCTGTCGCGTTTTTTCCGCCAGTTTTACCGGTCCGGTCGCGTTGTCCACGCTGACGCCAGGTTTACAGTGTCCGATGCGACAGATAAAACGTTCGTATAACTTGCACATAGTGACGTCCATTGCTCGGTAGGCTTGGCGTCTACGCGGCGAAAAATCTGTCACGTTTTTTCTGTCCATATAACATGGGCCTTAGGCATACACAATTTCATTCAACAATTATTACAAGGAATAAAGTTAGCTTATGCATGGATAGGTATATCTGTCATAAGTAAATAAGATAAACTTAATTAATTGTGAATGCAACAAATAGGCCTAATTTAAAAAACATACCTTCTGTTGCTGTATCTAGGTTATGTTATGTTCACTCCTAGGGGCCAGTTGTGGAATCAGGTCTGGATTTACTTATTGTTTCGGGAAATAGAATGGTTATAACAGTCAAACACACCTAAGAAGGACTTAGCCGAAAGTATAAAATGATTAAATATGACTAAAAAGTTTTTTTGTTTTTGTAGATCGACTTCTTTCAAAGGATTGGGGGCGCAACAGTGGTGGACTCTGGCTGTCGAGCCCTCATCAGATCGCGGACAAACGAAGTAGATGTTAGCTTCAGTTGGGAGGGAAGGAAGGGAAAGAGGACCCTCCACAGCCTCAACTTCATAAAACACTGGAGAGTGAGTATAATAGTTGCCTACTAATAGTTACTGGAATCTAATGGAATTTAAATAATAGCCCCTGAAAAGTTATTTTACCTGGGGAGCAGTGATTAACTCTTTTGTTTGAGTTATAATTTTAAATCTATTTTTAAAAAGCTACCCAACTTAATATTTATGAACAGAATGATCAAATTTGGTACTAATGTATAACCTACGTTTATTCAAAATAATTTGAACAGACTATGGGAACGAGGGTTTATGGGGGGTTTTATGGGGTAAAAATTGGGTTTTCTGATTTTTGACTCTAAAAACACAAAACTTCACGATTTCTTTCCATACCATTTTGTATAGCTTATAAAAGAAATAATTTTGTATATTGAAGCGTTGTTGTATGCCTATCGGTTACGGAGATAATCGAAAAATATTGTAAATTAATAATTTCTATGTTATTCTCATGGAGAAAAACTGTTGTAGGCTAGTTTGCTTGTAGGCTATATAAATATATTTTTGTCAAATTTGACAATTTTGTTTGTTTCATTCTAGTTTATGAACATTTCAATTGAAATAAAAAAACACTTCAATACCTTCCTTCCTTGTAGCAGCAAACCTAAGTACAGTAGGCCTACTCATTATAATCAATGTTACCTATGTAAATAGGAAATAAATCTTACAATTTTAAGGGAATGCAGTAGAGTCCCCAAAACTCGGCGTAATGTGGACTGGAAGGGTGTCGAGTTTGTGAAATGTCGGGTTATTGGGAACTAGGGTTATAAATAAGAACCATACAATTTGTAATCCTTTTAGCTGCCTTATTTATTTATATTTATATTACAAGTCAGTATTAAGTCATCAGATATAGTACAATAAATCCTTGGTACAAGTTGGGAATGATTTAACTTGAGCCCATGTTTAACTCATGTCGTACTCAAAAATCACTAATTTTCTGAGCCAGGTGATGGCCGAGTTATCCAGACTGCCGGGTTATCGAGTGCCGAGTTTGCGAGAGCCGAGTTTGCGAGACTCTACTGTACTTAAGTAGAAATCCAGCCCAGTAAATGGAAATTTGCTTAGTCTGCAGGGTTGCTGTGGCGGGGGTATTTGATATCCATAACATAAAAAAACTTTTTGTAAATCATTACTTGGCCTCTATTAATCTAGGTAACTACAGTTGGCTCTCAATAATCGGACATTTACTTATATAGGCCCATTAGAATGTCAGTTTGCCAAAAATGTTTGACTACCAATGTGTGGTGATTTTCCCAATTTCATGGCGATCGTAGGTGGCAATGGTTTCATGATCACAGGATATGTTAACGATTTCGCCGTGATCGTAGGATAACTGAGGTTAGTTTGACCTAGGTCCGCAAGTACTCTAATTACGGCACTGTTATTAGTAATGATTATTTCTGGATACACGAATAAGCTAGAGTATGTAGGCTATGTCTGAAACATGCAAAGGTCTACCAGACCAGTCCAAATAGATGACAGAGAAGTGTTGATGAACGAGTCAATTTGTGGGTCTCCTTAATCCTGAACATTGGATGCGCCATTTTGCTTTGCTTTGACCACGTACTATGCTTACTACTCAAACCGGCCCTGCAAAATATTCCCGAGTTTATACTCCTAAAGTATTTAGTATTAACTAATTAGTGTCCAGTGGCATCACCGCCATGTCGGATTATCAAGGGTAAATTGTTTTGAACCCCCGTAAAAAGTCTTCTTCTAAGTTAAAGGACAAAGTAGAAACGACCTTATGAGAAAAAACTGAATCAAACACATTAACACTTGCTTATAACATAACAATTATAGTGAAAACTCTGTGGTATCACATTGTAAAATCATGTTTCAGGTGTTGTTGCAGCGTCTCACGGAGACAATGTCACATACAAGGCATTTGGAACCAAGGTTAAAGAATGGTTCCGGCAGGCTCGAAGATTAAATTTTCAAATGTAAAGCTGTACTTGATTTATTAAGATTACATTTTTATTGTAAAGCTGTACTTTGTACTTATTGCCTACTGTTCTGATTTTAGTTTTGTTGGGTACAAATTCAATTCTAATTACTAATTATATGATATTATGTTAATAATTCTAGAATGATTAGTTTTCCTTTTGATTAATGAGAATTTGTTTCCTATAAAGTAACACATTTTTATGCATTCAATTCAAACAAATACTAACACACCATGAATGAGTGAAGACAATTTAAAAAAAAATAAATTAGAACTTACCACAGTTTTCATAGTACTACCGTACTGACCATAGTTTATCGCCTAAAGAGTCACCCTTAAAAGTGCCTCAAGTTTTTAGGATGAGTAATATTTTTATAATAATTGACTTTAGCTGAGAACTAATCCATCTTTCTTATGTTGATTACTGACAGAACATTTATTATTATGTTTATTTAGGTGCTAAACATAATTGGATAAATTGATTCTTAATACAATTTAATTAGATTCAGATATTTTTTGCATTACTGTACATAATTAAGATGATTTACATAAATAATACTTAAATTTACATATTATGGCTTCAGTTTAGCTTGTACAAAATTTACATTCCATATACATATATCATTGACGTATTATTTTTGTATATGGTTTACGTAAATTGACGTATTAGTAATACGTATTATTTACAAAATAAAGTGGGACGTATAGACGTAAAATAGAAGTATTCTATATCAATTCAATACGTATAATTTATTTTGGATTTACTTTGGCTCAAAGTAAATAATACATATTATATACTTCTGTGTGCTGACTGGGTAACTATTTAAAAATTGAGTGTGTTGATATTTTTTTCTAAGGTTTAAGTTTACCTTTAAGTAAGTTGTTTCCAATTGATGTTATCCTCTTATTTTAGATGATAACTTTGATTGAGATACCCGAGGACAAGCAATAGTATACTCGCATAGTTAAGTGAAAATCTTTTAAACCTGGTGAAATATAAGAAAAAAATACTTGCTAGAAAACATTCTAAACATTACGATAGTTAACATTAAAACTGGCTGATCTTGATCAGCACCTAAACTCATTCTACCCTGGATTCAGGGCCAAGGGCAGAACACTTTTCTCCAAAATGACTTTTGAAATTGGAGTAGATGATAACAAGTTTTAATGCTCCTTGGAGGTAAAAATACTGAATGAAATGTGTGTATTTTATATTGTTTTTATAAGAGAAATCAAAAAAATACTGAAACAATTTTAGGAATTGGGTGCTCTTACAGATTTTGATTTTAGTCTTCATAGTTAACCTTCATTTGTATCAGCCGGTTTGTTGGCTCCACAGTGGATATATCTTTTGGTGTTTAATCAGCAAATAAACAATATCGTTATCTACTTAAACCAAGTAGTCTAAATAAACATTTCTGGATATTTATTTGTGTAACTAGTGGGCAAAGTCAGTTTGCACTCATGTTGCACATTATATTTTTCGTACAGTTTCTATAAATCATATAAATAATTAGTAATTCAAACACTGTACAACACATTTTTAGGTTAAGTTAATTCCAAACAACGAAATGAGAAACACTGCACCAGCTGATCGTAGTAGTAATATCATTAAGTGTTGCCAACTTATTTTCAAGCGTACACGGATTACGTGCATGATAAAAGCACGCTGTTTTGTGTTGTTTGTTTGGAATACTGGTGTGCGCCAAAGTAAGTCTTTCTGTAAGGAAGCCCACTTTGTCGGGTGACTGTAGGAAATAGTTATTTACCTACGACCGTTTTTTAAAGTAGCCATTTCAGTCCAGTTCTTAGAATTGAAAAGTTTCACTTTACAGCTGTTTACTTTCATATCAGCATAGTTTCATTTCATATCAGCATAGTTTTTCTCATATCAACACAGGTAACGGACCAATGAGGTTCAAGTATTGAGAGAAAAGAATTAAAATTGTAATGCTTCGAACGTCAACTAATCAGCTGATCAGCTGATCAGTTGACCAATTTAATTGTTGGTCCGACTTGTTCATGTTGATACTCGCGTATTCTTAATTAAGTTGGTGGAAGTCCAAAAATAAATGAAATATTTGCCGAATTGTACCTGATAAAATATTATTTATGGTAAGAATGCTGCTAGCAATGTAATATTTAACGAAGTTTAACAAATAACACATAATTACAGGAAATCAGCTGATTATACAAGTCGTTGCATCACTTTCAGTGGCAATGACAATACACGAAAACATAACCTCTCTAAAAAGCTATCAGTAGTGATTGTTAGTAATTTAATCCAGATTGATAGTAATTAAAAAACGGTCGTAGGTAAAGTAGTGTACGCAACTCGCGTTAATAGTCTTTACAACACTCGTAGAAGTTTTTAAGGCACGAGCCTTTGTAAAGACTCACTTAACGCAATCGTTGCGTAAACTACTATTGTGTAACTAGTGGGCAAAGTGGCACTTTGTTGCACACGAGAGCAATCATTACGCACGTGCCGCAGGAGAGTGTGGAATGATCTCGAGTGCAGCAAAGGTCTTTTGCACTCGTGTTACACATTATACTAGGTGAACCCGCGCGAATCCGCACGAATAATAAATTAGGATATTATAGCAACGTCGTTAGAAGTTGCGTCGTTGTATCGACGTTGGTCTTGAGCTCGATCGTTGGCTATATGCATTCTAAGTTCTTTTTGCGGTTCAGTATGAGTATTTTGCAGGACGGAGCTCATCATGCTGAAAACTTGCGCGTATGGATTAATATCAACCAAATGTTGTGGCAAAATGTGCATGAGTTCAGTGCTGTAAGAGCCATTAGCTTTGTTTAGCATTCTTTCTTGAACAGCGGTTTCGACGTCGTGGATATAAATTTGGGCATATGTGGGATGCTCCCCTTCTGACGGTTGAAAGGTGCCAATTGAGTGATAAATTGTGTCGTGCACCTTATACATGAAAGGCCCTCCACCGTTATGTTCTTTAATTTTAGCTTGAGTGCTGACCATTGCGAGCGCAGAGTTGTATGATCTAATGTTCTCTTTGTAGTTTCTGCTCAAATGATTTGCTCCATTAAGTAGGCTCTGGATATAATAGCTTTCTCGGTATGGTGGTAGATTCACTTTTCCTTTATGGCAGCAGGATGAAAATCCTTCGCCTCGTCCTCTTTGTTCTTCTTCAAAATGTAACGCACCACATTTCTGACATTTTAATGCCATCTCGCCAAGTGAATGCAGCTGAATTCTCGTATTTGTCAGTGTAATTTTGTAAGTACACGTTGCCAGTAACTGTTCCAGCTCCTCGTCTGGGGTCCTTACGTTTTGCATTGCTTGCGTATGTTGACTCACCGTGCCCGACCGGCAGTATTTCTTTGTCGTCGGGTCCTTGGCATGTTTAAACGAAAATAAAATGTAAGACTTTTCTCCCGTCGTGTCCTATAGGTAACATTCCTTTGCCGGGTTTCTAATTATAAAAAAAACATGCAAACTGTTTACATTTCAAAACCAAACAAATCAGCTGGGATTTTTTAAAACTTATAGGCTATATTGACATCTGTTTCAGAATATAATAACATTCAAATCAATCACAATGTTATCCTTATGGAAGGAACTTTGAGGGCAGCCCACGCCCTTAAAAAAATATATTTCGAAAATCTAAAGCCTGTTTGCACATCTACACACCTAGACGAACATTTTGGTATATAATATTTGGGGTTAAATCTTAAAACAAAAAAGCCTTATTGTTCACAAAGTTTCATGTCGTGTATTAAATATATAGATTTTTCCTACAGTCACTATAAAGCATATAAATAATTAGTCTTTCAAACACTATACAACACGTTTTTATGTTCAGTTGGCATCACAAATAGGTGCCATAGAGAAAGTAGTAATATGCTTTCTCAATATACACTATTTTTATTTTATGATCAACTGTTTTCAGAAATGGGAAAGCAATGGCCTTAACTTTGAAACCACGTTCAGGAAAAGAGTATCAGCAGATTGATAGAAACCTCCTGGACCAAGTATCAAAGGTAAATAAAACAAACAGCTGACATAAAATCCTGTTCAGATTTCTGAACTTATTTTTTGATGTTTAGTGCCTATGATAACTGGAATAGAAACTATGTAGGTAGCTTTTTTTCACAGTTAAAACACCTCATTTAAATTATTAAATGTTTCCTTAAAACACACGGTTTGGATTACATTCAGTTTTACATATTCTCACAAGTCTCACAGTTGTTTATAAACATACTGTACTATATGGATGAAACCTGTCTCCTTTCTACCTGAGGACTGGTCCCGCCTGAGACCCGGGCTAGTCCCAGCTAAATAAAGGGTCAGGAGACAGGTTCCATCATACAGACTATAGCTGTTGGTGTCAGGGACTGCAAGCAGGCCCACAAATAAAAGGCAGTTTTATTTAGATGGAGCTAAGAATTTTTTTTTTTCTTCAAGTTGACACTCTCTTAATCCCAACTATTTGATTGCAATTCAATTACATTTTGGCTCTTTGGGCTCTTTGGATTCTCACCTAAGACTAAAATCTGCCTGTATTGTATCAAAGTGAACAATTTTTTTTTTATTTGTAGTTTTTCAAAAACTGATGTTGAAAGGTTTAGCGTTTCAGAAATTGCTTATTCAAATTTTCTTTAGACTACAAGAATAACCTTCTCTAATACAATGCCGCGGCAAGACAAAGGGGGAAACATTGGTGCAGATATTGCACTAATTTGTAATCAAGCTTCTGAGCATTGTTTGTATTTAGCATTTACATGTTTGTTATTATCATGGAAACATGTTTGCTAGTGTGACGTTACCTCACTCCAAGACGACCTTGTATTAGAGGAGGCTATGCTATAAGTATATATGGTAAATAAGCAAATTGATTTTTTCTAATTACTTATCATCATATCTATTAGGGAAATAATCAGAGAGTGAGGCCCTGGGGCCCTTTAAAGTTTCGTATTTCTCCATAAGATTAACATGGGACACAAAAATTGTCATGCAACTCCAGCTGTTGTCAGAAATTAAAAGTGAGAAGAAGAACATATGTTAATTGAAAACAGTCAATAAGTTTGCTAATTTAACAGTTTGCTATAAACATTTACTGACTTGGTTGAAATGAAATATTTACTATTTGAATTCGGGTTGGCGTGAATATTACAATGGAAAAAAGCGAGAGAGCCTGGATAAATTGATATATTCTGTTATGTACATCTTGAATATTTCCATAATCTTTGGGTCAAATCTTTTAAAGTCATCAGAAATTATGAACGTTATTACTTTTAAAATAACGCCTCTAATACTTATAAATTGCTCGAATTCGAGCAACAGGGACGCTAGTATAATATAAAATTGTTTAAGCAATTTTATTTTTTTCCAGTCGTAGGAGGAAGGGAGAACACACTTGGTGCCTTCAAGCTTATAAAGAAATTTTGATCTTGAGCTACAACTATAGTACAACTTGCAAAAGAGATTCTAGGTGCTAAACCAGGATGATCCATAACTAATAACCTTATTCCTCTGTAGTTAGCTGTATTTTTGTGTGGATTGTGTACATAAAAAAAGTTTAATACAGCAGATTTGACGGTTGAGACAGAAAAAAGATGCACATTCAAAATGTGTTCCCTGTAGTTCAAAAAGTATTTCCATCAATCAGGTTTAAACTTTGTATATTTTTGTCTTTCTCTTGAAAAAGAGAATAGAACAAAATTAAATCAAGCTTATTTTTATATTTATTTTATATTGTTGACATACTTGAAAGAAGTTTTGCGAGTATTTTTCTGATCCCCTGAAATAAGGGATATATCTCGTACAAGTCTAATTGAACAATTCAATTGAAATTCTACTCTAGAACTAAAAGAAGTGATTTGTTCCTTGGCCAGATATTGTTATTTGTCTCTTAACAGACTTTAAAAATGTGCTATTTTTAAATCTATGTTGATTTCTGTTCAGAAAGTAAGCTCTAAGGAGGTACTTGAAACAGTGCCACAGAGTTGTTAATTTTTTTAAGGAGGCTAGTTTTAAAAACTCTTCTTTTAAGTGGCTTCTACTCAATGTTGGGATATTAAGTTGGTTTATTAGTGTAAAGAAACGAGGAAAATATACAAATTTTGATTGGTTTATTATAAAAGAGAAATGTGTGCAAGAAATGTCTCTCCAATCCATCTTGGTTGAATGTATTACATAGAATTATTTCTTTTCTCATAAGTAAGGAAGGAGTTTAAGACATCATCATAAGTTATAGCCACATAGTTCTAAATTTTGAATCCTACTAATGGGCCTTAATAATAGGATTGACTATTTTTTCTTCCAAAACGGAGAATACTTTCTGAACATTTTGCTTGTTTGGTTTTCTAAGTATTTAAACAGCCTACAAAATTAATATTGTAATTGTAAACTTACCATTTAAAATAAGGATTTTACAAACTGTACAATTTTTAATTTAGTTTTGTATGTGAAAAGTCTTGTAATTTTAAAAGTAAATTCTAAATATGTAAGGGATTTTCAGAAGGTATACTTTATGTGTATGGTATTGTATTCAAATGTATACAAACGCTTAAAATTAGAAACTACTGTAAATATGTAAAATATTTAAGCCTATTGTATAACTTTACAGAGCTTATATCATAAATTTTAAATAATAAAATTATATTTGTTGTAGTTATACTGCACTGTGTATATATTTTAGATGAACGAAATTATAGCTGTTTGTGGTAGTGATCATGAATAGAAACAATGTATTATTTACATACATTACCAAGATTGTTTAAAAACTAAGGTTGAAACTACATTAAAATAAACTATTTTGTCATACCAACTAAAACTAGTGTAGCTAAATTTGATCAAAAGTGTCAAATTTCACAGTATTGAAACAACATTAAAAATATACAAATGGTGGTAAGAATACTGAAGTAAGCAAATTTCTAAAATTTAATAACTTTCCTAATTTATTAAATTACAGTAGACTTCCTCATATCCGAACTCCTTGGGACTGAGGCCAATGCAGATAACGGTTTTTCGGGTTAAACAGATACCTGAAATTTCACACAAAAAAGCCGTAACTATAAATGTGCACACCACAGAAATCACTCGAAAACTAACAAAAAAATGTTAATTAAATTTATGAGAGATCTGTATTTACTCACATGATCACTGGTCTCAAATATTTCTCACGAGACAAGTCGTTTCAATACAGGGCCGTCCGAAGGGGGGGCAAGCTGCCCCGGGCGTCGTGGCTGAGGGGGCGCCGCGCAGCGGCTATTTGTGTGTATTAACATAGTATTAAAATGGGAATGCTACACTTACTGGTGGGGAGTGGGCGCCACAACCACGTTTGCTCCGGGCGCCGCCAACCCTAGGGACTGCCCTGTTTCAATACCAGTACCCCCCCACTTCCTGCCGGTCCAGCCCGGTTAAACCAGTGTGCTTATAAATATTATATGGATAAATATAGTTACTTCTGCTGAGTATAGTCTTTTTAAACCGATGTCCAGTTAAAAAGTGTTCCGGATAAGAGAGAGTTTACTGTAAGAAGATTACTGCATTAAATTCAATGTACTTAATAATATACATTTTTTATGTGTATTCATCTCTAATTGTAAATTTTCCTTCAATCATTGATTTCCCAACTAATATTCTGTTATCATTTATTAACTTTTCAGGCTTCCAATTTTAAAATTAGGAACAAATATTTATTTATTTATTAGTGTTGTAAAACAAAATTAGGTTGGAAGGATTTTTGAATAGGTACCGTACTTAATATTTGAGATTTGACTGTAACTTTAGTCATTTGGATTCAGTTACCAAGTTTGTAAGGATGGATGGTCGGTTGTGCTAGTCTTAGAGTTCAGAAATTGTATGCATTGTATTTCGCAACACAATCATTATATTTAGATTTATATACAATAAAAGATTTGATTTTATACTGATGCTTTCTTCACCTGGAAAACAATATTTGAGATGTGTCCTCTGGGACGTGTTACCTCAGTGATGTTGTGAAGGTAATATTTTGAAGGAAGGATGATTGCAGGTTAGTTGCCTCCCACAATAATATAATGCTTTAAATACTGTATAGACAAGAATACCTGGATGGTTTCATGAAGTAACTTCTTTGATCTGTTAGGATGCAAGCCAATCAAGCCATGCATGAAGTCATCCAATCACGGTTTCGTCTTAGTTTTCTGCTTCTGAACAGTTTCGTGAACGGAGTATAGTATCGTATGACATTTGACTTAAATGACATACATTTCCATATTTAAGTTGAAGCCATCAGTTTAAAAAGATTAATACATTTGAATAGTGTCATTAACAGAGTGCACTGATGGACATTGAGTTACTATGTTTATGGTAACTTTTTTAACAAGCCAAACTGAAATAAACTACACAGTACAGTATACAGTATGCAGTGTTAATGTCACATCAACTATCTCAGTAACATTTAAAGTAGAACATATAGTTTTTATTTTATGAATCTCTATGAGTGGCTCATTTGTGCATGTTAATTTATAATACAAAAATAATTGGTTACAACTGGCCCATATAGATGAAATAACTACTTCAGAATCTGAAAGTGAATACTGTAGTACCATAGACTAACCAACACAAGTAGACTCCTCATTCCATTGTAAATTTTAAAGCTCGTTTTTCATATTGTGACACTGATCGCTTAGTGTCAATGTAATTTTGTTTCTATTATTTTAGCGTAGTACTTATATTTTGAGAATATTGGCCAGATTTCATAAATGAAAATGAAGAATGTTATTCTGAATTGGTAACAGGCTCTATTGAAAACTAGCAACTGAAGATGTTTGTTTGTGGTTGGATGCTATTATGAGGATGACATTTAAAACAGGAATAAACCAAATAAAAGCCATTAGTTTTTATATTGTAAATAATTATTTTAAATTTAAAATTTTAGAGAGGTCAAGAATGTTTAAAAGTCTTGAGATGCAACACCTAAGCTTAAATTAGTTAACCCAACTAGCATGCAGCTATAAAATCTTATATTCAATAAAACCATTTGGCACTTGCATGGAGCTCTGTTAGACTTTCTTTAAAACATGTAACTTAACTCTTATTTTAATAAAAATAGACGATACAAAAAGTTGACAATCCCAATTATTTCAAATTTATCACAACAATTTGGAAATAATATAACTAGATGATGGGGGTGACATTATGAGCTTCCATTATATATATGTATATATCTTATGTTAGTGCTTCATTTTGTTTATGTTATTAGGCATTCAATAAGCTTGCTCTTAAATATATAATTCTACTGAAACGTATAATTAAAATATAAAATTGCTAACTTTGTCCATACAGAATAAATTGTGTGACAAGTAATTTACAAGAACATAAAATTGTTTTAGGTTGAATTAAAAAAGCTAATTACTTAATTTTTTTAACTAATCACCAATCGGGTTACTTTACAAAACTTGTAAAAAAAAGTGAGAGATGAAATTTGCTTTAGATGGGAGGTGTATTTTAGAATACAACCAAAAGGTTAAATTAGTACATTAATTAGTGAGATTATTAATTACGATGAGCATTGACTATACACCTCTGAGAGGTATATTTTTTATATGAGTTTATATAGTTTTGTAATCTGTGTTTTTTATCTTTTTTTACCAAATAAAAGAAAAAGATGGTTGATGTTGTAGAAAAAATGACGATAAATACTTCTAAGTCAGATATGTATGGGAAAAGTGCATTACAAAATAAAATTGGAATGTTGTATGACCCGTTGTAGGACCATTTGTATGCTCGTCTAATGGGCTATGAACCTATGTGTAACTTATCCAGCAAAGCAAGGGGTGAGTCTGTAGTTCAAAGGAAAACAAACACTAGGGTGCGCAGTTGGAAAATGAAGGACTGATTTAAAGAAAGAGAAAATCGTCTAGAGTTTTTTTAATTTAATGAGATCAAGTCATACGGTGTAGCCGTAGCCTATACAAAACCTATACAAAATTGTGGTGGCGTAAAATTACAAACTAGAACTTGTTGAACAGAGCTTAAGCTGATAACTCACAATTTTAAATTGTCATCGTTTTGTTTAATGATTTCCTATTCCTTTCGACTCCTTGTAAACAATCAACAATATGAAAAATAGATTTTTAACATGTTATAAAATTTAAAAAGATATTTTGTAGTTACAGTACTTATGTGTAAAGTTTCTTTCCATTAGCAGCAATGGTTAAAAAATTTAAATTAAACCTTTCCCTAGCACCTTTTTGCCAGCTATATGCATTATTTTTTAACCCACGATTTGTTCATATTTATTCTCCTATTCCAGATCATTTAGATAGAAAAGTAAATATTTTGTAACTTCTAGTCAAATTTAAGCCATCCACATTATAATGACTAACTAGATAGCTGCAATGTGTGCAGTTTTATATAGAACATCTCAATTTGAAGTCAGTAAAACATTAGGTTAATCCAGGGATTGCATCGTATGATAAGAGGGGTTGGGATGTGCGGGATGGATTATGGCGGTTATGGTTCAGTTCGCACTTACCTGTCGTCTGCTACAAACGTCGTCTGCTAGATACGTCATGGGGGTGTGTTCGCGTTGTGTTTGGCCCTTCATCACTGCTTTAGTAATTGTAGTCGCAGTTTTTATTTACTTTTTCTACCCACCATTTTGTACAAGTAAGTGCTACAGTTTTGCATTTAATTTGTGCTGCTTACAACAATTTCTGCTTACAAACTAAATCATACTATACGTAACATTTTGTTTTGGGTGAACTTCTTTCATCATAACTAATTAATGTATTAAATAGTTATACTTTTTTAAAGTTATGATTCATTTTTTAATACTTTAATACTTTTCAATGAAATGGCGACCATACAAAGTAGGTGCACAGAAACAACCCAAAACCAATTTTATTGTTTAAACTGACGAATCTTTACACACAGTAAACATTGCCAAAAATATAGAATCGCATTGCTACAATTCAATTCACGCTAACGCCGTGTTTTCGTAAAACATCCTCTTCATTACTGTGAATGACAACAAATTCGAGAAAGATTTATTCTTTGCTCGATTAAAAATCACTTAGGCCCTTACAAGGTTTAAATCACCTTAAACAATGTTTTGGTTCCATGAATAATCCTTTTTATAAAATAATAACCTACCTTTGACCCTTAATTAGAAGTATGATGCAGAAAAGTTCAATGCAGAAAAACAAAAAATTGTAAATGTTTTTCTTTGTAGTTATTTTGTATATTATATTTCTGTATATATTATGTTAGTTTAGTTTTAGTTTGACGTGAAAGTTTGAAAATCATGTATATGAAACTCGCTTGTAAATAAAGGCCTTTTAATTTATTTATTTATTATTTATTTATTTATAAATCCCACTCACATGATTTTCAAACTTGTAGCCAGTTTTAGAATATCATTCGACTTAGTTGAAAAAGTCAACGATCAATTGTGTTGATGTCAATTATTATTTCCTTTGGAAGACATAAACCTTTCAACCACGCTTAAATGAAAGGACAACTAGTTGTATTTTTTCATTATTAAATAAATGATTATAGTACCAATAAAAACTAAAGAAGAGAAACGTATTATGACCATCGATGTATATTATTATATCGATGATTTTGACAGCACCACTCTCAGTGGAGTGGTTGACTGCAGTATTTAACTATTTACTACGAAAATAATTAGCAACAACTGTTACCGCATAGTCTGCTGCAGTCTCCAAAAGCATTGAATATGTAACACTAAAGCCAATTTTAAAACAAAATACCTACGTTTATATTGTTGCTAAAGATACTTTAATCGTCCATATCTTGTATTATGAAGTCGTTTTTATCCCAGTTATGAAATGTTTACTTTTACTGCCAATAAACATTGCATTGTTCATTAACTCAACCATAATATAACTTTGTAATAAACACAAGTTTATTGCATCGTCACAAATGAACTACACGATGACTTTTAACATCCTTGAAGAATATGCATTCTTTGTCATTATGAGAAACTGTAGAGAGACTCTGAATACGTCGTCTTAAATGTTAAGGATGTTTATTCAATGATATAGCAAAAATTTAGTGGTGATTACAGGATGAAGTTTTCAGGGGTCTGAATTTAGTATTTCTTTACATCAAGTTTTGTTTAAAACTTGTTTGTTAATAACGAGTTTTTATAAGTATTTTCCCCGTTTCAAGAACGTGAGTTATTATATTAGTTACTTTTTTTGTTACCTTCGTTTTCAAATAAAGGTTTGTATTCATCCTGTATGCATTTCGCCAGCTAGTGTGGCATATTGAGGGGATTTTTAATCTTCATAGCACTAATACTAACACTATGCATTGTTTATTGTCTTTTCAAAACTATTTACGCTAGGCCTATACATCTCGGTCAAGCCGAACGGCAGACGCGCTGCCATGGCACTTTTATATAGGGGGTGGCCGGGAGTTGGGGTACGGAATAAACCCAGTAAACAGAGATATGGTCTTAGGAGTACTTGGAAAAAATATTAAATTTAGATCTAAAATGTTTGCTTTTACATTTTTTGAACCTAAATTTGCTTTGTCAATTTATATGTAGTTGGTTTGTTTTTAAAATTTTAATACTTACTTCTGTGGCCACTAGCATAATGTGAATCATTTAAATGATATGTTTTACGTTACAAGTTGAAAAAAAAATTTGCAGAACTAGACAAAATTTCCTAGTTTTTCCAGATTTCCCGGCACCAAACCCTGGTTTTCCCAGTCTTGATTCCTAGTCCCCAAATGTACCTTATACTAAGGGTCTGCAGGACCGGGAGCTCCATATTTTCGGATCTGGTCGGACCAACGGATGGCACGAGAGATCCGTCCGGGCAGAACATGATTGATTGTAGTCGAGCCGAACCGTGCGCAAATTTCCGCAACCCCAGAGCGTTTACGAAGATGCGTGATCGAAAATTGACGATTTTACCGAGATCGTGGGAGACGATGATACCCTGTGACCGCAGTAAATTTCCAATAATTTGTTTACCTCAGGAGATACTCATGAATTCGCCGTGACTTCTGAAGATGTTCTCAATTTTACCATGACTAAGGACTATTCTTACGATTTCGCCGTGATCTCGGAGGATGCACTCGATTTTACACTGACCGCGGAAGGTGTGCATGATTTCCCCGCGACTACTGAAGATGTTATCAAGTTTATCATGACCGCAGAAGATGTTCTTGATTTTACCGCGACCACTGAAGATGTTAACTGTTTCGCCGAGATCGTTGATTATGTTCATGATTTCGCTGTAACCGCGGAATATGTTCTCGATCTTACCATGACCTCGGAAGGTGTTCTTCATTTTGCCAAGATCGCGGGACATGTTTTTGAACTTGCCGTGATCGCGGAAGATGTTTTTTACCATGTAGTGACCACGAAAGAAGTTTTTGATCTTGCCATGATCGCGGAAGATGTTTTTGATCTTGCCGTGACCGCGGAACATGTTCTTGATTTTGCCTTGTCCATGGATAACGATCACAATTTCACCCTTTCACCGTAACCTCAGACTAAAACAGGGTTTCCCAGTGCGAGTTCAAAATTCCCGCATAGTTCCTGATCTAATAAATTCACGCAATCTTTCCGGAAATCTCAGTCTTTATGGTCACCCTGGTATGGTCTCGAAGGATGGACGCCCTTTGCGCTAACGGACACGCGGTAGAGTCATAGGTCTTTCTTCCATTCTACGTTTTATTTCCTGTACTGGAATTTTTGGAATTAAGGCTATGCATTTAATGAAGGGACATTCAGGAGCCTGTATGCATTATTTTAATTTTATTCATTCGATGGAAATAATTAAATTTTATTTGATGGTTGAGGGTATGGCCTTCTAACAGGTTTATGCCCGGTGGATGATGTGATTTCTTTTGTGTTTTGCTGTTTGCTATTGTGTTTCCAGTTTTGTTAGTTTCAATATTGTAGATAAATTTGAAAATTTTTGAGCTGGTGTAGTCTTCTTCAATACCTCCAGTGCAAGAAATTAAACGGAGAAGGGAATGCAAATGACTCCGCATCGTGTCCGTCATCACATCGCCCGTTCGGCAGACCGCGATACCAGTGACAAGTGTGATGTAAATAGCTAGTGTAAATAATCAGTAGACAATATGTAGTGTTATCTATATGAATATAAAAGACCCTCTGATGATGTCACACAAGCTGGCAAAGTTACATGTTGAATACAAACATGTATAGTATTTTTATAATACATTATACTTCTCGACACCGGTATATTCGGTACATGTATGCACAGAGCGATCAACCAGCCATTATCGTACGCCAATTAATAAGCGATCGCTCCATTTTACATCTGTTAGGGTGCGATGTAACCCAAAAACAATGGAAGGGGATTTGCATCCCGCAAAACACGTGTAACGACAGTATTCCAGTTGCGTTAGTAAATGAAAATATAATTTATGAGTGATACAGCAAAAAGGTAATTTTGTCATACCAACGTCAAACCATAAAGTTTAATGAGAATTGTATGTTGATTTACTGCACTATTTAGATTTATAAACATTTAAAGTTACTCAATGAGGACATTGTGTATAATATATTTAATAGTAGACCTACAGTTTTACATTCAAGGTGAACTTTAAAGTATTATTCTGTTGGTTTACGCATTATGTGTTTGGTATTTTTGAAATTAGAAAAACTGGTTTGATGTTATTTGAATGAGAAATACAGTATTGTATATATTTGGTCAAACGGAATTAATTAGCCTAACAATATAACGTTATGTTGCACTATATGATCAAGAATATTGTGTCTTAATACACATCAAATATGTTAATTGATTAAGTACAATTTTATAAAGTGCTACTTTATAAAGTGTATTTTGTAAAGTGCTAAATTCAAAGAAAACACCTTATTTTATAATGTTATAAAGTAATTGTAGGTGTCGAAACTAATGAACTTTACTGCCTTCAAAGTTTGTGAAACGAACAACTTACGGCTGTGCAGTATTCTATACAATGCTCTTGTGCAGATAACACAAACTTACAACAAAATTACAAACTCAATAAGGGGAAACAAAATTAAATCTAATTTTTTAAGTTGAGAGGCAATTTTAAGTGTAGAATGCAGATGTTTATATTATACCGTTTATTACTTTATCCAACTTATCAAATAAGTCGCAGACGTCTGTACCATAAACAAGAAGTAGGTCGACTCATAAAGAGATTCGTCATTTCATCATTTACACGGGAGTTAGCTGCCAAGACACTATCTCTGTTTCTTTTCCTAAAGCTGTATATCTCAGTCACTCTGACTCAAATATACCTTACTGGGTTCTAAATTTTAAATTTCGCGAGGTTTAAACTTAGGTTTATAAACTGATTGAAATAATTCAACTGCAACGTTACTTAAAATGTCAATCACATAAGTAGTTGGACAATATGTTGAGAGAATTACATTAGGTCAGACTAGCAGCTAGCGTCCCTTCGTGACTTCAAATTCCGTGATATATGTTATACTAGCAGAGTACCCGTCCTTCGTACGGGATTGGCATATAAGTATAAAATGCTTATTGCAGTTTTACTCTAGCTTTGCGTTTGCAATGGGGGAGGATACAGTTTCATAAAATTTGGTTCATTAAATTTACGTTATGATATAGTATAACACATCTACCATAGCCATAATATTTTAACACTGCACCTAAACAATAGAAAAAATAAATTACCAAACATTTGCACAATGTCACAAATTATTAATTAAATTAAAAACATAAACATAACTGCTGTAAACAATTCTAGTTTGACAGTTCTCATTGTGTATCACAGCTTTGTATTGCTGCTTAGTTTAAATTAGCTGTTGCCAAATATGAAAAAACAAAAAAATAATAATGCTGCACCCTGTTGGGAAACCTTATAACTTTTTAATGTTATTGTATATTATAGAACCAACTTGTTAAGCCCCCCATACACGGGCGAGCATGTTCGCCGCCAACACCGTCACGAGCATGCTCGCGAACATGCTCGCCCGTGTATGGGGGGCTTTAAGTTGAAACAGCTGACTAAATTCTTTAATTCCTTTTAAATATGAACGAGGTGTTAGCCCGTCCTACGTACGGGAATTCAGTAGTCGTTAAAACCGTGTACGATTTAGATCAGCTACGATAGTTTACACATATAACGACAAAGTTTCTTGCAGTTTTAATGTGAAAAATCATCTTGTAAACAAATGCTGTGTGACCAAATATGTTTTTATTCCATCATAGGCCTATATAATATGCATTTTAAATCCGATAATTTTACAATAAAACAGCAATTCTGTAATTTTTACGATGTGAAAAGCGTTAAAGTGAGATTTGCAGCCGATTAGCACAGACGCACGCTGATTTTAAGCAGCCTACAGTAGAGAGAGTAATAGAGTAATAGTCAATTGAGAAGTGTATAGACCTAGTCAACGATACCACCTTCCATAGCATACCTGCCTCTTTCATAATTATTATCACCACAATACAACTACTATACACAATTTCCAGTAGGTCTGAATAAAAACGACCTAAAATAAAACGATAATATCCAATAAAATTCACAGTAGGCTACACATAATTTAACTTTGGTGTCCTAACATAAAAACTATTCGTCACACCTATCCTTTATATCAATTTCACTGCATTAAATGCTAAATAAATAAGTGTAAACAAAGAAAAGTAAAAACAATAACAGTTTGTTTTGAAACAGCAGCTGTTTGGTTCAAATAACATTAATAAAAAAAAAGAACTGGTCACATATAGCAGGGATATCAAAAGTAATCACGCTAGTAAAGCTAATGACGTAATTGTCAATGTTTACCATCCATACCCTTACCAGTTCTATCCTTGATAATTACCCACCCTCATTGAATAAATGTACATCGTAATTTCCCATATTAGTTAATTTAAACTACAATATATTCATAGTTGAAATAAAAGTGATATTTTCACGTTTGGGGGCGCTGATATAGGCGCCCCTAAACGTAACCACAACTGAACACGATTTCATAAAAGGATGGTTTGTCTAATTGCAGTATCCTAGGTCAATGTTGACGTTGTGTTCAATCTATGTCATCCATTTTTTTTATAAAACCCGGCTGAGGTTGTGGTGGTAATTTAAAATCGTGATTCCTGATTATTCTCGATCTTCTTTTTATGACATCAATATTTCCGGGCCTAATCCAAACAAAGTTAAAGCAGACAAACATTGATTGTAAACAACAAAAAGTTACATGAAGAATTAAAATATGTAAACCTTGTTATTTTTCTATCCTTTTCTTGAAAAGTGGAGCAGTAAAATAATTTGCATTTATCCTTTTCTATTAAGACTCGTGTGCAGAGCCTCGATTTGTACTGTAGTTTAATTAATTTTGGTCTAAACTATTTTAAACTGTGGTCTAATTATCTCTACTGATCTTACTTATTTCCTATAATCAATGACAAAATAAGAGTAAATAAAATAACCTCATAATTCCATAGTTTATATTTAACCAGCTGTTAGTTAAAACAAATTATATTGCTCTAAAACAAATCGAAGATTACAAAGATTGCTTTAAAAAATAATTTGAACATCCTAGTATTTTACTATGTATAATTTAATTAATCCGTCATCCTCTTACAGAAGAATTGAACGTATCAATGATTAGCATTACACATATTATAAATAATTCAACCCTTATAGTTCGGCCGCTTAGAAAACGACCTGCGCGCTAATGCTAAACCAATGCTGGAGGAGGTCGTTTTCTAAGCGGCCGACATATAGTATGCCTTTACATTTTTATCCAAATGCTGAATTTGTGACACAAAAGCTGAATGTTTACAGCTGTTATATGTTAAGCAAATTATTTATGCCAAAAGCTAGTTAAGAATCTTAGCGTCGGCTGCTAGACTTTTTAAAAATTAAAACTTAATTTCTAAAAAACTGGGACCCTAAACTAAAATTATGGCTTCGACATTCTCTAGTTCTCAAAATTATCTTTCTTTCAACACAAAAATCATGAAAATCCCTCGAGTGGTTGATTCAGAATCGTGAACTAAAAAAACACTGTTTCGTTTTAATATTATAGATACTCTTGAGGTTAACATTGGGAACTGCAGAGCCACTGGGGCGGAGCCAGAAACGAATTTTGAAATTATCGGGAATGTGATCACTATACCAAATTTCAGCCCAATCCGTTCTGTAGTTATTGCGTGATGAACTTCAAACAAACACACAAACTTTCACATTTCAGATTTAGTAGATGATGGTGAAAACGATTATTTCTCATCATATCCCTATTATTTGCATTGTGTGTCCTATTATTACAAATACTAATGAAACATACTATGAAAACACAAAATCTAACTAAGTAATTTTCTTCTTTACGTTTTTAAACAAATAACATTCTACTTGAATTCACTAAAGCGTCACCAACTGTAACGGTAGCCACGATTATTTTTTAAAGACTTTACTGTATCTCCTAATCTCTTACAGTTTTGGGGAGCGTGTTGAATATTTTGATAGCTGATGTTTTTATAAAATCAATCAAAGGAACATCGCCTGTGGAACTACAATTTAACAACAGGTTTAATTTTACATGTTTCTGCAGACACGGGTGCAGAATGTCCATACATCAAGGACGTTTCTCCAGCGATCTCTTCGTCACCCGCAACAACTCCTGCCGTCCCTCGGGTCTGGGAGAGCGACTTCCATCTACCACCCAACATCCGGCCATCTTTCTACTCCATCCTGGTCGTTCCTGATCTCTCCACAGGGGTGTTCAGTGGAGCTGTCACCATCACCCTCGACATTTCCTCTCCTTCCGACTACCTCCTGGTCAACATAGACGGCGTCCGAGTGTCCACCACGAGCCTGTCCAGAGGGTCGACCAAGGTACGACTCCGGGAGACCTTCGAGTACTCCCCCAACCAGTTCTGGGTGGTGATTCCTCAAGAGTCGCTCCAGCCTGGGGCCTACAGCCTCTACATGGAGTACTCCGGGAGTTTGACCAAAGACATTGTAGGACTCTACATGACCAACTACACTGATCCTACCAGTGGAGAGGAAAGGTAATGTTTTCAAATCTAGTTTGATCAGTGTTTTATGCTTTGATTTACAATATTGTTGCTTGACGATCTTGAACACTTTGTATGCAGGGCAAAAAGCAACTTAAGAGTCCTTTGAGCCTAGCTGAGCTAACTCATAAAACAGTTAAAAAAACTACAAAGAAAATATCTAATCTCATAGTCCCCTAGACATTTAAACTACAATCCCTTTCGTATTTGAAAAAATATTTTGATATGGTAAATAACTTCAGTGGCTGTTTTAAATTAACATTGCTCTTATGGTGGCCAAATCCAATATGGCCGTTAGCTCTAAGGACTCCCTTGGAAAACAGCTACAAAACCACTAACAAAATGTCTGATTACACATAGTCCTAGATATTTAAATTCCAATCATTTTGGTATCCGAACAAATATTTTTGGATGATAAATAACTGTTTGAAATTAATCCAAGATAGCCACTAGCCTCCAAGGTCTCTAACTGTGCCACCATTGGTTATAGATTTAGAGGAAACAATTACAATTGAGAACTTAAACTAGTTTTTAAGACATTAAAAATATGGATGTTACTTTTTATAAAGGCTTTCTCTTTCCAATATGGCGGCTAATTTTAAAATGTCTTATGGAACACCTTGTTTATGATTTTGTTAGAATGTAAATGTGATTTAAATAAGTTGTTTAAACTTGACTTTTTTCTCTAAAGCCACTTGCTTAGTACTAGTAGCTTATAGCGTGTTGCCTTGAAAAAAGTGGCATGCTGTTACGTGCATCCTGTAGCTCCTAAATTCCAAGAGAAAATTCTAAGAATAAATCTTAAAAAAAAATGTCACAAAATACATGATATTTAATGCTTTTTTGGTTAATATTCATAAATCGTAAACGATGTTCCAACAGTGATCCAATCTTAAATAATTAATTGTCGGGGCCTAAAAAGTCCTATTGTAAAGGTTTAATTTTTTCGATCGCCTTATTGAGTTCCCATTATTTGTCTATTGATTTAAAAGAAAATATGTTTAGTTTAGTTTATGGACCAAGTTGTATTATTTATCCAACAGCTTAGAAAATTAAAATAACTCGTACATTATTTATCCTACAAACGGAAAAAAAGTATATTGTTTCAGTAAAGTGTAAAACCGCGACTATCTTTCTCATTAAAACTCAGCAGTGATCTTTAACAGTATGTGCTAAATATAAAACTTAACTGATCAGTAACGCATGGTAACGCGTATCAGTCAAGGTGGATTAAGAAATCGATTTTAAACAGCTGATAGCGGTCCGATAACAGCTGGAGAGATATCGCCGCTGACCTTGAGTCTCGGTGAAAGTGTAGTCACAACTGACCTGTCCGAGACTCTATAATGCGTCAGCTGATCTTGGTGAGAACAGTGTTGTTAAGTTTTGTTGTCATCCTGCAAATGAAATTTCTTAACCTCATCAGATCTTAGCTTTTCTCAGGTAAGAATTGATATTCTACATAATCTCAAATAACTTTTGCATGACTTTGTGTGATAGTAGTTTTGACCACTGGACATAAATATTTCTAGTTTTGTCAGTACCTTAGGGAAAGATTAAGATTGAACTTAACCTAAACGAAAACCAATTTTGAAACAAGAAATTGAAATGGTGAGTTTTATCGTGATGCAAAACAGAACACAATAGGACTGAATCTTAAACAGTAAAACTTAATTTGAATTACGAAAACTCTTCCTCAAAATAACAGTACCACGTGGTTTCAATTTTCGTGAATCAATATAAGGCATTTAATATTTGCGCTTAAATTGAGCATAACAATATAATATAGAGGATAATTATTTTTATGTAAACACAACTTTATTTATGAGTTTTCTTTTTTAAAAACTAACTCAGCTGTACTCGTAAACTGTTAAATTATTTTCACGGATCTTAGCAACGGGTTAATGTTCTTCTTTCCGTTCTAAAGCGAAAAGACGTTAATTAAATATATACCCCAGTATTTTTCATAATGCTTAGTTAAATTTTATTTTTAATGTTTATGCGGAATTTTAATTGTGGTGGCGAATTATTTCATAAACGTTTGTAAAATGTTTAAACCCATAATATCACTAGTCACATTTATTAGTTACAAACATAAAAATTAAAATGCCATCTTAATACTTTATTTCTTATGAAATGGAGACCATACGAATGTAGGTATTTTAAGGCCAAGCCAGTTACGATAATTATAAATGAAACCCTAATGGAATTTTCATAAGAAATGTGTCAATTTTCAGATTTACGTCAGAAATTCAACAAGAGTCAAAATGCGATGTTTAATATCTCTATTTTCAATAGTCATATTACTAATATCATATGGGAAATTCACCGAAACAACACAAGCAACTGATGTAAGTAAACGTTGTAATATACACTAGTTAGAATCATCGAATTTATTTTTTCTACAGTTACCTGACAAAGCGGGTTTTCTTGTACTGATAGCACGCTAAGTAACTAATGGCTGCATTTACTTACTTTTAGCGCACTGTCATTTTACTTTTTGCCGCACTCATGTTTTCTGCTACAACTCCAGTATTGAAACAAAAAAATGTGCTTTAGGCACTTGTACGTGTATGCTTGAAAATAAGTTGAAAACACAAAGATACTACGACTACGATCAGCTGGTGCAGTGTTTCCCATTTTGTTCAACGCTGGGATTTAACCCTGACCTACAACGCGTTTAGTGTTTGAAAGGCTTTATAGTAACTGTAGGAAAAATATAATGTGTAACACGAGCGCAAAGTGCCACTTCGCACACTAGCTACACAATAGCATATAGATGTCGCGTTGTGTTTCTCAATCTAACTAAATTTTAATTACCCATGCACTACAATATAACAGGTCCATAATGAATCCCGTTTAAAGAATAGACAATGTTAGGAATCACATTTGTTTACGCCTGAGAGGCATTTTCAGGTAGCTGTCAGTTAAAAAATATTTTTGTGTCGTAGTCATTGTCCACGATGGATATAGCATTATTGGTTAAAACCATTTGGAAATAGCATGGGAGAAACATAAAGGCTAGTTGTAAATATTAACATCTTTATGGTAGAAATGAAGACGTTGAGGTACTATGCTATCTAATTTATTATAGCCTTAGTTTACTTAGTTTAACTTGATCAATAATACGTATAGCAAGAAACTCTTGTAAGTTAATTAAGACATTACAAATGATATATCTATATATTTAATACACAGTTGTAACACTGTTTTCTCAGTAATTACTGGACCGATCTACAAGATTTATGTCTCAAATTAAAGGGGATAGTGTGTAGATTTGCCGAACTTCATTAGAATTTACGTTTTTTCTAAGGGCTACGACCTACAGCCCTTTAAAGGTCGAGTCAATACAATTCTTATTGAAGAAGAATATAATACACAGTTTATAAATTATTCATCAGCTGTTTAATGTTTGTCAGACATTTGTTATTATTTTTATAACCTCACTTTCAGTATGCAATTATTAAACTTGGAGTTTCTGTTTATAAACACACGATTTTGATCAAGTAAAGTGTATTTGTTAACTTATTTTTGAAATGTTGATCGGTGTTTGACGTCCAAATTTTACCTTCTCGAGATGGCGAGTACGCTGGGATATTTGGAACTAAAATTTATCAGTGAACTATACCCTCCTAACTATATTTTTTCGAGTAGGCCTACACAGGGAAGTTGCTTGAGAAACTGTGACTTACGATTTCGGTTCTGGCGAAGAAAGTATCTGACTGGATGTTTAATGGCAATGTTTTCCTGCAAAGTGATCTGAAGGAAAGTAGTAATTGAGTTTAAGTTTGAGTATGGAATGTGAAATAATACCCATATTAGGGGACGGAAACTTATTGTTTTGATCAATATAATTTATTCTCTATAGCCACCAGAACAATCATAGGGAAATCCGCTTGCAAGTTGTACAGATAATTGCTAATGATTGGTAAGCATACAAACATTTTATCGTAAGTGATTAATCTTACTCAAGATCGGTGTTTGACGTCCAAATTTTAACTTCTCGAGATGGCGAGTACGCTGGGATATTTGGAACTACAATTTATCAGTGAACTATACCCTAACTATATATTTTCGAGTAGGCCTACACAGGGAAGTTGCTTGAGAAACTGTGACTTACGATTTCGGTTCTGGCGAAGAAAGTATCTGACTGGATGTTTAATGGCAATGTTTTCCTGCAAAGTGATCTGAAGGAAAGTAGTAATTGAGTTTAAGTTTGAGTATGGAATGTGAAATAATACCCATATTAGGGGACGGAAACTTAATGGCAATGTTGACTCGGGTCATTATAGCGTTATAAAACTTTATCATTAACCCCAGGATGTGGAAAGTACAAAAAGAAAAAGAAAAGGTAATCATAAACCGGGCGTAAAGAGACATACAGAGCGAAAAAAAACATGTAGAGAACCATCGAACTAAAAAGGTAAAGAGCAGTGATGGTGTTAAATGTGCTCTGGAAGTCCCTTCTAAAAAAATACCAATTTTTTTGAATTGGGGTTGTTAGATTGGATTTGTCAGTACTGCAAATCTATGAATTTTGAGTCAGAACAGACTAACTGGGACACAAATATTTTTTCCTTATGTTGTCACAAGGGGAAGGTCAAATGAACTCCTTATCAACATTTTGAGTTTATGGAAAATCTTATCAACAGCGACTATAAAAAAAGTATTAAGGGTCAAAAGAGACAAAAAACTATTTGAGTAAAATATAATACAAATCTGCATTTGAAATGGCCAGTTCTAAGTCTCACTTGAATCAACATCTTTCTGGTAGTGGTAGTCTACATAGTTTTAAAATCCACTACTCCTTTTCCATCAAATTGGACCTTTAATACCCTCTAACATTGAACAAAGTATGACCAAATTTATATATACGACGTAAACACAGCTTTTACTCACAGTATGGGTCAAAGATTCGTGTAATGCGACCAACTGCTGATGCGTGATTTACATGTAGGCTAAGTGACTATCTTTATTCCATACAACAAATGTAA